ATTGTTGTCGTCTGCTTCCGTCATGCCGACCACTGCCGCGACACTCCCAGTGACACCCAAATACACAAGCATGTCGAACAAACAAAGCCTTGTTGGCGTTCTCATTTTTTTCAACATAAGCAAAAGACTGATACATATTGAGGAAAAGTTATGAAACTATGTAATTGATTAATTACGATTTATTATAATAATTTCCATTACTAACACGTTAAACCTACATAAGTGAATTGTAACTGGACCCATTGAAGCTGAATGTTACGCCTAATAATAAATATAAGTGGGGAATATATTTACCTCGGATTTTGATCAGCTGTTTGACCTGTGCATTAATATTGTATGGTGTTTGGTAAAAGCATAGACTGACAATCAAACAGTTTGAGTTATTACCCTTCTTACAGTTTGAACAAAATGCATCCCTCATTCATTCAAAAATCATCTCTCACTTTCAACGATATTTCATAGATTTTACATGTTTAATTGCATGCAGTATGATACAGTTACATTGAAACTTTACAAATAACTCAAGTAGGACATGTTCTTTTACATGTGGTGTAAAATGAACTATTTCAGTACTTTGCTATTTTTATTTTGCTCATTTGACCCATGTGACCTTCAACGCAACGAAGGTCAAGGTCCATTGTTTTGATAAATATGCTACATATATGTAGGTTATGTTGGATTCTCAACGGTCTATAAAACTACGCATGACAAAGTGCTGATAACTGCATGGCGAAACTTTAGGTAATGTTCCAGCCCCCCCCCTTTTTTTACCGTACATACATGCAGGCCTTGGGTAGTTATTCTTTTGGTAAAATGTATGTTATTTCTCTAGTTTAGATAATTATAAGTGTGTTGGCCTTTTTTTAGAGAAAAATTACCATCAGAAATTGTTCCTAGTAATGATGTAAAAAATCATGAGTATAACATTGAATATGACATACCAGCAAATTCATTATAAAAATTTAGAACTAAGCCAATCCTCGTTATATAAAGGATATCTCGAATGATATGTATCTATACCTGCACAATGTCCTCAACATAGCGAGACTGTTCATTTATGTATGGTTGGACACATCAGGTCTGATGGCGACTGGAAATGGCCATACAGAGTAGATATGCCCACGTCTAGATGAAAACATGGACTATATAACTTCCTAATCAACAAGGCAGAAGTTCGTCCGAAAGAACCGACTATCTCCTTTTAATTTGTTTTTGATAGGACGCCACAAAAGTATTTCGGACTAGGAAGAAGTATGGACTTCTCTGACAGAGTGAACAACTGTGTAGGAAACGATTCACCAATGCAGGAAAGGCTGCACAATTGGAAACTGTTTAAGCTCACAGTTTTATAGAACTGCTATACTGTATTAGTTTATATATTTAGTTTTCCTTTGATTAATGACACGCTGCAGACGGTTTTGTTTTAATCCAACTTGATTTATGACTTGGCAGTATACGAGGAAACATTATGGAATGTTACACCACATGTGGGCTACCTGAGATTGTACAAGTCTGCTGCATGTTACTATTTTAAATCCTTGTCATTCAGGACGAAATTGCTCACAGCCCGGTCAATTTAAGTAATTCTGCACAACATTTGAAAATGCCTATCCCCTAAAGGTTTTGAATTTTGAATTAAATAATTAATTGGATAGTCAAATTGATTTTATTATATTTACAATTAACAAAAACACGTATACTTGTAGTAGACTAGAGTCAAATATAGTTTTGGAAAAAGGAGTTGACGGAACTTTTAACGAATGTGTCTAGATGGATTTACACGTGCCGTTTCACAGGTAATCACCGACTTACCACAAGTGTCAGGCTTACGTCGATTGCCCAATGATATAAATATTTATCTATCCCATAACGAGTTCCAGTCAACTACTCGATGTCCTCAGGAATTACTTTGTCACTGACCTGTACAGGCTATATCGGTCAATACCAACAGAGCTACTTCAAATCATATGGTGATATTTAAAGATCCCTGTCCCAATGCAGGTATAACACTAGAGAATTTCACTGTGTTTTGCATGCAGTAACCTCCACTTAATTTCCGTTTGGCTATAACTGCAACAGCGACTGCGCGTACCCCACAGAACTATGGTTAACCTGGTAGTTCTCTTGATTAGAAACGTCCTTATAGTGATCAGAGGTTCCGGGTTCGAGTCCCGGTCTGGCGCCGTTAAATTTATTTTCTTCTCCAAAAAAACTGTTGTGTCTTTTGTTAAATTCTTCTTCATTTTCTTCTTCGTTGCTTTTTCGTAAAGAACCGGAAACGTAGTTTTCATTTAAAATATCATTTATCAAAAACATACTCATGTCGCAAACACAGGATTCCAATGTATGGTGACAGTTTTTGGCAGTGGTAAGGGAAGCCTTAAGCAATTGACTGTTTTAAAATACTTATTTTATGCTTGAAGTAGTTTGATGTATCGCACAGTGCATGCAGACACGTATATATCACAGGGGCTCGGTTTCGGATTTTGAGAAATATATGACTTTTTTTTTAGTTTAAACATATTTTATTGCCAAAATAGTGACAACATGATTGGGCACAAGTTATTACAACATTTTTTACGCCCTTTCCTCAAATATATATATCAAATTTACAAAAATGGCACAAGTGGGTATCAAATAGTATGTATAATAGTAGCATTACAACAACAGAAACAAAAAGAGAAAGAACAACATAGAACAGTCTCACAAATTGAGTATAGAAGTACAAAATGCCTTACGAATTAAAACCTACCGCAGACACAGGCGGGAATATCTACGATATTGACTCTAAATAAATCATAATTTAGGGAACTGCAGTCGTACCTTAACTTAGTGTGAATGATATTTAGTTTTCATTCACCTTAACCAAAATAACTGGGCGATTTGGTGTCCAATTCTCGAGAGATGGTTTTTTTTAATCTTCCTAAAGTGACTGATGATCTTTTATCAGTATCTAAATTGTTCCAAGAGCGAAGCGTAGAAGGTAGGAAGAATGAATTTGTACTAGAAAGTCTGAAATTTGGTATTTCAAAGTCATTACTGTTTCTTAAAGGATATCTGACATTTTGGTTTACTGTATTGGATAGAATTTTGTTTATGAATTCAGGGGTGATACCATTTTTTATTTTGTACAGTACCTGCACTTTCCTTCTTTTTCTCCTGTCTGAGAGTCTTTCTAACCCCGATTCAAAATAGAGAGCATAATTACTAGCATAGGAATTGAAGGAAGACCAATAATGATACGTGCGGCTTCACGTTGACATTTTTCTAACCTCTCACTTTCATTAATTGTACATCCATCCCATAATTCACAACAGTAATCAAAAATTGGCAAAATAAAAGAGTTATATATTTTCAACAAAGTTTCTCTTTTAAGAATATGTTTCAGACTTCTAAGAACATTTATTTTCTTCATAACGGATGTATAAATAGCTAAAATATTATCTCCCAATTACCTGCAGAATTGAAGACTACACCCAAATGATATGACGTAAATTGTAATCATTTCGGTTAATAATACACGTATACACATCAGTAAATAATAGTAACATTTTTTTTATCCGGTGTTTATACACATTTTTGTACTTTTTTTTTTTTATACCTCGGTACAGTCAATTTTTATAAGGTTTTAGAATGTGTATAAACACTGGATAACAAGTGTTGCTATTATTTACTAAAATTCACTTTAACCGAAATTATTACAATTTACGTCATATATTATAATTACTCAAGATCCCGAAACCGAGCCCCTACATGTGGTACGATCTGATTAAGTGTGTAAATGGCGTTAAGACAAACAAATACATAAATAAACATAATTTAAGCCGTATATACAGTTATATTTGTACAATGCACATAATGTAAGCTGTTTTAGTTTGGAACTTCATCAAGCATGTTCTTAGCCCATTATAGAACACGTATCATAATTTGCATTTAGAGAGTTTTGTTTTCTCATTTTTTCATTTTAGTTTTGCAAAATAACAGAAACTTAACTTTTAACTACAGCTAGAGGTAATTAACAAGAAGACGAATTTGTCTTACATTGTAAACCCGAAGCCTGATGTTTGGTACGTACATATACATTTACATGTTCATTAAAATATATAGATGAATATAATGTCACAAATAAAGACCACAAAATCCGCGCTTTATAGATATCTGTTCAATTACTCTAGGGATATGCAGGCATTTACCTATAATATGCAAAATAGCTCATACTTAAGTCTTTTTTCTTGTTTTGTTCGGGGTTTTACGATCCCCTCACTGAATTTCTTTTGGTCTATTCGATTAATATTTACCGTACAGTAATATTCTTTTGAAAAAAACACCCAACAACATAAAAAATAAAAACAAAATGTACTTGAACAAGACGAATGTTATAAATACAGTTTTTAAACAACTAGAATGACAGAGCTTCTTTATTTCATTTCATTTCATTTTCAATGTGATAGAAGATGCATGTGATTAAATTTCCCCCGTCCGGATAAAAATATATAACATGTTTCGGCTCCAAAATTACATTTTGTAAATCGTTCTCGGTTGTACGTTTGTAACTAAAGTGTATATAAGCACTTAGGGTTCAAGCTGATCATTAACACAGGAAGGCGGGTGATTCATTTCCGAGTGTACAGTGTTTCCTGAAGAGGTAAATTCTTTGAGTTTTTGAAGTTTCAGCAAGGCGTGGCAATTTATTTTACACATTGGAACTGTTACATTACATATATCCGTACTGTCTATTGTTGATCGGACCAACAATATAGGCCTTATTCGCCATGGCACCAACAGTTTAACTTGATGCACGCTGTTGGTATCTGCTTGTCTGCCTCGAAAAAAAGGTGAGACATGGTTGATGGTGTAGGTCTACAGTACACATGATGTTCATATGTAGAGCCCCCATTTAATTCGAGACAGATACCTGTGGTGAGAGGATACAGTACAGGACCTGCAGTAAGCCTACTTGTAGACTTCTCAAGTTTGACTCCCGATAGTACTGTAAAAGATGTGTTTTGATTCAGCTGTAAATGTAGGGAATTTCCCTTTGGCTCAGCGGTAGAGAATCGGGCTGGAGAGCCAATGGTCGCGGGATTGAGGCCCAGCGACGGCACTATCTTTATCACTATTCTTCGTCCTAAGTACTATAGTACATTATAACAGTCTAAAACAACAGAATTACTCAGCTGTGGCTGTGCACGATTTGTTTTAACCCTTTATAGGATAACCAACCTTTGTATCTTTTCTTTTTTTCCACTGACTATTTAAACCTGGAACAGCCTTCCACTTAGAACTAATATTAATACCCGGCCTCCTCTGCTCTGGCGCAATTTATCAAAAATGTCTCGATGTCAGAAAGCTACGTTATCGCAGCTACCTTCAACTTACAGTAAAGTTATCACATGTAAATAGTTATATCATATCATAAAAATGTGTTATTAACTATGCAAATATATTTAAATCGCTTTTGATTTTAAAAAAATCATTTTTTTTACTGTAAATATTGTTCCTCTATAAGCCAGGCATAGTCCAAGTGACATAAACTTCAGCGTGTTGAAGGCGGTCACTATAAAGTAGAAGTAGAAGTTTATCAAATTGTAAACATACACTTACAGTCACTATATTCAAACCATATTGATAAAAACATTTGAATACCTGAAGTCAAATGAAAATATCCAGCTCTTGCTGTGTGTACAGTGTCAAAATTGATATTCCTTTCAAAATTTAGATATAACAATGCAAGAATTTCCAACTAAGCGTTGCAGAGGTGATCGATCAATGTTTTCTTCCTTACATGTGTATGGATAAATCTATCAGGATTCCTATTCTTGGTACCATTCATTAGCTAGATACTAGCTTATGTACACACATTTATCAACAATGTTATATAATCAACTTTATATGTGTATGGATAAATCTATCAGGATTCCTATTCTTGGTACCATTCATTAGCTAGATACTAGCTTATGTACACACATTTATCAACAATGTTATATAATCAACTTTGAGAATGTCACACTTATAAAGTGTCATGTTTGTAGTGTTGGCCATTGTAGTCTTTGTAATCTTCAAACAACATGTATCAGTTTAGTGATTGGTCAAATGCTTGTTCAACTTTGTCATGACATATATTACAAGAACCCTTGATTTTCAAAGACGTCAGATCCTACATACAATGTAATGTATCAAAGAGGAATGGAGTGAAGATTTGATTTTAATCAGGTTTAACAATGCCAGCTACAAGAGTATAAGTAGAATGATCATTTACAGTTGCAGCCATGGATGAGGTGCAGGCTGCTGAGTTTGAACTGCTGGAGGAACTCATGGAAGTCGAGACAGCCGAAAAGAAACAAGAAACCCTGAGGAAATACATCGAAAAAATGGAAACGAACATCACATTTCCTATACCCGACTTTGAAAATGGTTTGTACATTTACCCACTGACTAATTATTCAGTTTCTGATTTTTTTACTATCCTATCAGTATGATACCTTGCATACTATATGTATATAACAAGACATCACCAAACCCTTAAATCTACTGGAATGATGACTAAATGACCTGTTTCTACTGTGATAACTGTTGTTTCTTGCATGTTTAAAAAGAAAATTAAGAGGATATTCTATACAGTTGATATTAAGAGTTAAGTGGTAAACACAAACTTGTTGAAGTGTTTCAAATTCTAACAGTGAACATTTAAGATTTTATACCCCAGTATTGGTACATTTTATATTATAAAATGTACCAATACCAGGGTATATACTGAGAAAATTCTGAAAATGATAACTTATATCACCCAGTGTTCTATCTTTGCAATGAAATAAATGAATTGTAATAAAATAAGCTATATGTTACTAAATTGATGCATGTTCACTGTCATTAAATGAAGGCAATAGTGATGGCAAATTTTTCAATGCGAAACAGAATGCAATATACATACATCAATTCACAGGTAAAAAACACAGTAAACTTGTTGTTTTTTCTGTTTTGACTGATTCCATCCAGATCTACAATGGCTAAACACAGCTTTGCCACTCTCTCTAACTAAGGAGCTAGAGGGAAAATTAGTGGTAATGGATTTTTTCACCTATTGTTGTGTGAATTGTCTTCATATCCTCCCAGACTTGGAACAGCTCGAGGAACTGTACAAAATTCAAGACGGAGTTGTAGTTCTTGGTGTTCACTCAGCCAAATTTGATAATGAGAAAGTACTTTCTAATATTCTCAGTGCAGTACTTCGTTACAATATAAACCATCCGGTCGTAAATGACGGTGAAGCCACACTATGGAACAAACTACGTATAGCATGTTGGCCTACACTGTTGGTTGTTTCACCTACGGGGAAATATTTACGGGCATTTGTAGGAGAAGGACATAAGGAAAGTTTAGAAGAGTTCCTTAAACTTGCTTTAGATTACTATAGGCAGAAAGGTATGATAAAGACACACTCATTGCCAATTTCACTTGAGAAGGATAAACTACCAGCAACTCCGTTAAAGTTTCCTGGAAAAGTTGCTGTCAGTGGAGACGGAAAGCTGATTGCAATAGCCGACAGTGGACATGATCAAGTGCTCATTTGTAGTAAAGATGGCATTGTTCAGGTATGATTAAAAAAAGGGAGGGCACTTATTGAACTGCTTTAAGTTGGCATTCATATTTCCTGTGAATGCGACTGAAATTGAGGTCAGTTCCATACTTATATTTACCATCTTTGGAATCTTATTCTTTAATGATATGTATAATTTGTCACAATTTGCTCCTGTCTAATATGATCCAAGTCTATAATGAAAATCAGTGTTGTTACTGTCAGATTTTGCTACATGTACATAAATGATACATATTATACAGTTCTTGTTAGAACATAGTTATGTCCTCATTTCAATGGTCTTCAAGTGACTATACCCATACAAATGTTTTCCTGGACCAAAATATTTCATCTGTTGGCTTTCTTTGTAAAGTATTACAAATATTAAAGCATATGGGTGGTCCGTGGGTGGCACAATTGATAACACACTCATCTTTCACCAAGGCTAACATCAGGCCAACAAGGGTGGTTACTATAAGCTTTATTAACTTGTTTCATAATTGCTGTAAAGTAATACATGTAGTTATTTCGTAAGGATCGATAAAAATTGAATATATTATGCATATGATATTTTCTGGTCTAATATATGTATTATAGCTACATTTCATAGGGATCTTATATTTAGCTTACATTAAATGCACGACTTGTACACTGACCAACTATTTCAATTCTGTACCACTGTCCCATTTTTTTCTGGTTTAGACAAATAAAACTCTATAAAAAATCAGCATTTAGTCATATTTCGTTAATCATTTTAATTTAATTTCAAAAGCACCTGCTAGGAAGTCACTGAATTGCATCTATATACCAAACCAAAAAAAATGTTCTTCTCAATCCATACAGTCAAACCTGTTCATGCGACTTAACCTCTATTAAGATACCACCTGTGTTAAAAGACTGCTTTAAATGTTCCCCATTATAGTGATTTTATTGTGATGAACATGTGTCACGGACCATTAAGAGGCCGTTTTTTGGACATTATCACATCCTGAGAGTGGTCACGAAGAACTAACAGGTTCGACTGTATAACACTTACCAGATTTTGGTAAATAAATTTGTTTAACCTAAGACAAATTCTTCAATAATTTGTGGAAAGATTTGGCTAAAATTCTGCAGGGGAAAGTACAGGTATTTGGTGAAAATATCCCCAAATTACTGGTATTGTTTAAATTTTATTATAAACCAGTACTTTTCTCTACAGAAGTTAAGCTGGTGCATTCCCCTTTCATGATATTATTATTTCTCCCTAACGAAATGCACACTATACACAAATATTTAAGGTATTGTTGATTTAACAGTCTGTCGTGGGAGGAGGAAAGAAGGGACTCCAGGATGGTAGTTTCAAGGACTCACAATTTAACTCCCCACAAGGAATGGTGTTCGTGGGAGACGACCTGTATGTTGCTGATACAGAAAACCATGTCGTTAGGAAGGTGTGTATTTTAACAAATCTCCTAGTATAGTCAACTTTATTTTGTGAACTTTGATTTATATATCTGAAATCAGTCCAATCATTTCTTTAATTCCAAACCAAAGAAATCGTGAGCAAGCTCACAAAGATATACATGTACCCCCTGCTTGCACTTACACTTGTTTCTGGAGCAAAAATTTCCAAGTTTAAAGGCCATAACTCCAAGAAAATTGTTGTATTGCAAATTTGTTTCTTCATGCATGTCTACAAATAATGTAGTTTCACTGTGTGAAGTGAAAAACAAATCGAACAAACACTTAAGGAGGAGTTTCAAGGGCCATAACTCTGGGACGAATAGTTGAATTGCAAATTGCTTCCTTCATGGACATCTATCTATGGTGTACTTTGTCTGCGTCAAGTTACGAAAATATTCAACCAATGGTTTTGGAGGAGTTGCACTAAAAAGGATCATGGACAGACAGACAGGGTGATTCCTATATTGTACACAGGCACTGTAGCCTTGAATGTCACAAATTATAGTCATATTCCAGGGAACATGAACTCCTAAGGTATCAAGAAAACTGTAAGTTGAAGCTTCAAATGTCCATAGTGATGACAGGCATTAATTCCATGGAATATAAGACAACTAAGCACAAAGTCAAAAAGGCTGAGTGAAGGTAAATGAATATGCAATTCACTTATGATTTTATCTGTACACAAGCCTAGGTGCACTCCCTCAGTTCGCATGGCTCATAACTAAACTCAGCCTTGATAGCTTCATGATTATTTATGATCAATGATCTTAAATTTCACCTTAAATGTGTTGTTGGAAAATGCTACGTTTCTGTTTATATGTATTTCAGGTAGGTCTGAAGTCCGGGTCGGTAACAACTGTGGTAGGAACAGGTGTCCAAGGACAGGATAAGGAGGGGGGAAATACAGGAACACAACAGGAAATTTCCTCACCGTGGGACCTGGATTTAGGCCGCTCTATAGGTAAGGTTTGTTTTGAATTATTCATTTATTGTAGGGCCCGTCCCGTCCTGTTGCGTCCCGTCCCATCCATGAGTGGGGGCATTTATGTCTTACATAATCATGTTTCGTGAGGGTTAAACTCGGAAACCAAGAATCGTGTTTCCCTACAGTAAGGACAAAAAAGCAGTAACACAATTGTAGAGATGATCAGGTTGAGTTCTTTTGTTGTCGTCTGCCTCCATCATTTGTAACTAGGTTGTGGTGGCTCTGGGTAGGGAACATAGGATCAGAGAAACTTGAGCAATACAAACTATATTGTAACAAAACACTGTAACCACAACAATCAGAACATTTGTCAATGCATGTGTTTTTGTAATAAAACTGAAAAATTATTTGATTGTGATAAAATACACATATTGGAGATGATCATGACACTTTGGTTTTCTAAGAACAGAAACAACTTTTTTGTAAATATGCTGTGATTTGTGAAAAATGAGTTCAATTATGCAGGGGAAAGGTTGGAATTATTTGACTCACAAATATATCGAAAAATAGATTTTTTCTTTAATACATTTTTATAAAATATAATTTAGAAACACATGACATTGCTGCAAGTGTATTTTCTAATCCCCTCAAATGTGTATACAATATCCTTATAACCAATGATAACTAAATAATAATGTATAAAACAACACAATTACCATAGCCAAATTTCAGCACCTTTTAGTATCTTACTTCACTGCTATCATCAAGAATTGTTGGCAGCTGGCAGCCAATATACTGTTGAGCTGTGAAATGTGCCAAATTTCTTTAGCCAATTTTGCTATCAGAATAAAGATTATATAGGCTTCATTTCTGGCCTTTCAGGTAGTGAATCAAAAGACATTCTGTTCATTGCCATGGCTGGCACACATCAAATCTGGGTGTATTTCCTTCAGGATGGAAAATGGTACAAGGGGAGGTAAGAATATAAAAATATTTGCCATTGGACATTCATTTGTATTGCATAACCCTGAAAAGTGCTTAAAAGGTTTGGGTACTGGTATTAAGATAGTTTGTTTGATTTGGAAATACATTTGGTACCCTTCTGTTACAAACCACTTATTCACAGTAAAATGTTATCTTTAATGAATGTTTTCCCCATAAATTTGTAATTTTTATGAAGATCATTCATGATAGGTTTACTTTTTAGAATATCTACCAGGGTATTTAATATTATACAGTTTTGTTGTGGTGTAAATATCTAAAAAAAAAAATAAGTTTGATTTAATAACAAAAATATATATGAATAAAAAGCTGTGATTCGGAAAATATTCTGATAGGTTTTGCCTCCTTGTTTCCTGTTTCAAGACAATATGGATGTAGGCACCAAGATACCAAATATTGGGTCTGGGCAAGGTATTGTTTGTTGTCACGTGGTCATCCCTAGGTACTGGTCAGTCCTGTGGTCATCCCTAGGTACTGGTCAGTCCTGTGGTCATCCCTAGGTACTGGTCAGTCCTGTGGTCATCCCTAGGTACTGGTCAGTCCTGTCGTCATCCCTAGGTACTGGTCAGTCCTGTCGTCGCTACCCAAATGTACGTACCCGGAATAGTTTAGCAATTGGGTTGGTTTTCATTGCAGGTTTGACACCTGGCATTGGCATTGGTGGGGTGGGGCAGGTTTTTTTCAGACCTCAAAACATGTATATATAGACTTATACGTCTTAATTGGGAAATGCATCCATCGGTCATAAAGAGTGACCTACTAGGTACTGGAGTTCTCTTTCTTGAATGGTTGCTTGAATTTTATGAGTTAATTAATTGTTGACTCAAAAAAATATATACAAGAACCCAATCATTGCTAGCAGTGTAACCTACATTTTATCATTTAGTTATGCTAATTTAAGGCATTCGTCAAGGGAGACTACTCAACTGATAGGTACATAATATATGAATATAAGATAACTAATATTTTATGAATGGATATATTATAGATAGGATATCTAATATTAGGGGATATACAGTTTTAGATGAAATAATATGTTATCTGTTTCTCATTTAATTTTGCATAAACATAGTATGCAAACTTGAAATCAATTTTTACATGTAGTGAAAAAGATACATTTAGGCAGTTGTCACTCAGGAAAAAATAAAAATAAATGGTTTACCGATCTATTCAAGGCATCATAAAGCCAGAACATGCCTAAGATTCGCCGGGAGTGGGAGTGAGGAGAATCGTAACAATAGCTACCCTGCTAGGGCTGCGTTTGCCCAACCGTCTGGTCTGGCAGTATCCACACATCCTGACGTTAATTCGGTGTTTGTGGCCGATAGCGAGAGCTCCACTGTCAGGAGTGTTACCCTGAAGGATGGAGCAGTAAAGGGTTTTGTTGGTGGAGAGAAAGATCCCATGGTGAGTTTGTTTCACTGTTGTGAATCCCTCAGGGGCCACTTTGTAACAATTTCATTTGTTTCTTGTGTAACAAGTTCCAGCAAGATTTAACAATTTTCGTTTGAAATGGAACCAACTTTAAGATTCTTTAAACAACTGCTCAGCGTCAATGATGACCTTGTGTATGGTAGTAGTAACTAGAGATATTTAAATCAAGAGTTTCATTGATTTTGTTTTCAAGGATGAAAGTGAGAAAAATAATTGATGTAAGAAAATATCTATCCAGTATTTTATTGACAGAAATTTGGCAGAGTTATTAATATTAACCTTACAGATACTTTTAACCAATACCTCTGAAATTGTAGGTTAAAGGAATGTTTGATTATTGAATAAAATACTGTTTAATCTAAACTAAATACCTAGCAACCAAATCAAGCTGGATAGACTTTAGTCGATATCTACTTTGACGTAAGGGGGATAAGCAATACTTTTTATTAAACTAACAAGACGTACCAGGAATTGTGGTAATCTCAGTCAGTCTGCTTATGAATTTTTACATAATAAATTTACAAAAAATCCGCAGATTTTAAGGAAACTTGCTGAGCCTCTAAAAGCTTTCTCACAATCTGATTGCTCAATTTTGACATCTTGCCTTTACCCTTTGTTTTGAAATAACATGCAATAGCATGGATAATTTATACATGTGGTGCCTATATTTGCTTTGCTTCTGCTGTTAGGGCTTGACATGTTTTTAGCTAAACACATGTCTTAACTGAATATTTACTGAAAAATTATCAAATTACCAGCATGCATGTCTCCTCACTCACACTTTCAGAAATATCATTATATACTACTGTACAATATGTGCTTACTACACAGAATACATGGCAAATCCAACAGATTTAAAGGATTTGACATTTCCTAACGAAGTGATAATATTTGGTGTACCGAATTTTACCTACAGTGTTACAAGAATATACAAGAGTCATTGCACATGTGTTATGTTTTCATACACCGACCAATTCATGTGAATTTCACGTTAATATCTTGTGTGAGTTGTTTCCCTTGTAATACACAGCTGGTATATATGTTCTGTAAAGATAGTTGATTATATTATTGTTTCATTGAAGAAACAATATAATATAACAGAGGTTAGGTTTCTGGAATGAATTCCACGTTAATATCTTGTGTGAGTTGTTTCCCTTGTAATACACAGCTGGTAAATATGTTCTGAAAAAATAGTTGATTATTGTTTTATTGAAGAGACAATATAATATCACAGAGGTTAGGTTTCTGGAATGTAATACTTTTACCGCGGTGGCCAAGTGGTTCAGGCGCCTGACTGTCTACCATCACTAGCCCTCCACCACTGGGTCGCAGGTTCAAGGCCTACGTGGGGCAGTTGCCAAGTACTGGCTGCAGTTCAGTGGTTTTTCTCTGAGTACCCAAGCTTTCTTCCACCAACAAAACCTGGTACATTGTACATCCCATTGACCATAGCTGTTTTAAGGACGTACAAATGTAAAACACAAACAAACCAAACCAAAAGTTTAATAAAGGTAAACCACTGCAAAGATAATATTTAAAAGAGCATAATAAAGGTATTACATTCTAGAAATTGAACCCCTGCTGTGTAGAATATGACAAATATTGTTATACAGTACTTTGGGTCATATGACACTTTGGCAGTTTTAAGACTCTTTGATCTTTGCAACTAAATCATACCTGTGTTTCCAATAACAGTATGATGACACTCTGTAATAGGACAGGTAGGAAGGCAAATCTTTTTATTTTCAATAATCTTTTTACACAGCCTTATATGGAGCAGACATGCTGGCTTTAACATTGCTTGTTTGAAGTTGACATACATATGTCAGGGTACTTCTGTACCTAAAGTCTTGAAAAAGAACAAAGGTTTCTGAAAAAACACAGGTATACGTATTCTTATACAGGTCATGACCATAACACATATTATATATACATACATATGATGATTTTAGAACATATGGTTGAACATTTTGCTTGATAGTTGGGAGATTGAGTTGTTGGTAGGGAGGTTGTCAATGCAAGTATCCTTTGACCAGAATATGCATAATGAATTTGTGTTTATATTGATCAATATTCAGAAATTAAGTCTAGCTTTTGCAGTTATCATGATTGCTCCAAAAGTCTTTAAACAACACACACTCACGTACTGGTGTTTATATGGACACATTTTCAACAGTCTAGGAATTTCCAAAACCATATTCAATTGTAGTTTAGTTAAGATGGAGTTTGAAGCTTGAGACTCACCATGAAAAAGGAAGACACCAGGTTTATCTACATCAACTTTCCATTGTTCCATATACATTTTGTATCTATTAATTTTTTGGGGCCGTCATGTGCACTGTTGCTACTCAGCCATGTCCAGTATTTGTTTTGCATACTTTTGATGTTTTTTTTATGCATTTATTTCATTCTGAAATGTCCCCGGATTATGAAAATATATACTTTATCTTCTGTTATATCTTCATTGTATTGTTTTCTTTTTGGTCATTTTCATTAAACATTTTTGAATCCAGAATAAAGTGTTTTTCATGAGTTGAAGTTTGTTATTGTTCTTTGGTGTTCAATTAAATACTTCATCATATTTCTTTCTTTTTTTTATTATTTATTTTTATTTTTGTCTTCACAGATACATCATGTAAAATATCATATGAGTAAACATATGTCATGTAAACATATCCTCTCACAGGAGTCACATCTTTGATTTTTTTTCCCTTGCTATCATCATATTTCTACTCGAAATGATGTTAGGTCCTATTTCATTGTTTCACTGTGTTCTGTCTTAGAACCTGTTTGCCTATGGTGATGCGGATGGCGTAGGAATTGAGGCCAAACTTCAGCACCCACTCGGTGTGGCCTTAGTAACAGATAACAAAGGGCCACTGCTTGTTGCTGACTCATACAACCACAAGGTAAGATCTATAATGTTTCAAAATTACTCAATTTCAGTAAAGTGGGTGGAGGACCTCAGGGGGAGGGGGTTTGACATTTGTTTTACAAATTTATGGATACTTTTACACATTTCTTGCCTTAACTCATGCACCCCTGAAATTTCATAATGAACTATTCCAACCTTTGAATTGGATGAGTTCAAATGTTTCCTCAGGGGTGGATTGGTGAACAAAATCATGTGCAGTCGTTATCACATTGTACTACTAGCCCACCACAAGAAGAACTTTTCGCAGATATACATCTCATGTTTTTTCCCCACAGTCATCAGGTTGTCTATAAGTCTGTCGTTTGATATGTTTTCAAATGATTCTGTCTGTAAGCATTAATATTTTTTAGTTATTGAAATGTTTAAAATTTGATTGAGACCTCAGTCCCTAGAATTTTGAAGAATTGTGTTAGAAGAGTCTGGGCCTAGTTGTTCTGCCTAACAATACATTACCATTAAATTTTAACTCTGTTAACCTGATATATTCACATGTAAATTGTAATTCATCACTAAAACTATGTGTCCAAACTTTCAGAATGATCCTTCAAAGTCAAAAAAATAAACATGTATTTGTTAATTTTCAAATATCGCAGAAACTGCTTTCTGAAAATGAATGTAGATAATATGGGGACAATCTGGGAAAGGGGCTGTAGGGCACTTGGCCCCCTCAAAACTTTTGCCTAACTGATCACACCATTTTGTTGACATAATAAATATCCTCACTGGCATGAATTTTGCAGCATATCTGGTAAAATGTCTGTGTAGAAAAAGCCATTAATGAGCAAACCAGACCGGCTAGGTTTTGTAAAGGTTGTCCCTTATTATAGTTTTGACAGCTTTGTCGAATCAAGGCCATATAACAGGTCACGCCACCTGGTGACAAGAATGTGATATTTTCAGTGACAGTTTCCTGTTAAAATGCACATGTCTTGTGACTCTTTGTCTTTCTGAAATTCAATCTTAACTAAGTATATTGATAATTCAATTCAGACATATAATCAATTTGTCAGCAAATCATTGACTTTAATCTCCTTTAAAGACAGTTGCTTCAAAATATGCAGGATTACATACAAATGTATATTTTTGCTAGAAATAATGGATTTTTAATTTGTTGTTGATTCTATCGTGTACCTGTGGCTAAAGTACATAGCCTTTGTGATTTTAAAGTACACTTCAATTTATCTCCATCCCTATCATTATACCAGGTAAATTCCTTATCTAGAGGTTGTTTGTACTTTATTTTGACGAGCATAATGAAGTTACAGTAATTGACCAAATGCATGCACCCCACATGAAAAAAGAATTGATGAAAGATGTAAATATAATCATAGGTGTCAACCTCTGAAATGTCCAACGATCCCTCGTTCCACATTTCCAATGAGGGAGAAAGTGCGTGAAAAGTGACTCAGAAACTGCTCAATTTATCTTTCCCTTTATATGTATCAAAGTAACTCGAAAACCATTCATGTCATTCAGACACACCTGTTATGATCATTACACACACCCTGCACTAACTAGATGATCGTTTGACCACAGGATGTAGATTTTGAGTTTGTGTGAGTTTGGACTTGAATGAGGGAGTTTCGAGGGAGGGAGATTGATAAATTTTGGTCAAAATGAGGATGTCTCCCTCCTAATGAGGGAGGGTTGACAGCTATGTATAATTTAAAACTGACTTGTTTACAAAATGAATGTGCCAGTGATAGCTTCAATGTACTACAGTACATATATATCAATGATACTACAGTACTGTACAGTACATATATTAATGTACTGCAGTACTATACAGTACATATATATCAATGTACTGCACAGTACTGTACAGTACATATATATCAAGGTACTGCAGTACTGTACAGTACATATATATCAATGATGCTACAGTACTGTACAGTACATATATATCAATATACTACAGTACTGTACAGTACATATATTAATGTACTGCAGTACTATACAGTACATATATATCAATGTACTACGGTACTGTACAGTACATGTATATCAATTATAGTACTGTACAGTACATATATATAAATGATACTACAGTACTGTACAGTACAAATATATCAATTATACAACAGTACTGTACAGTACATATATATCAATGTACAGCAGCACTGCACAGTACATATATATCAATGTACTACCGTACTGTACAGTACATATATATCAATGTACAGCAGCACTGCACAGTACATATATATCAATGTACTACCGTACTGTACAGTACATATATATCAATGTACCACAGTACTGTACTGTACATATATATCAATGTACTACAGTACTGTAAAGTACATATATATCAATGATACTACAGCACTGTACAGTACATATATATCAATGTACCACAGTACTGTACTGTACATATATATCAATGTACTACAGTACTGCACAGTACATATATATCAATGTACTACCGTACTGTACAGTACATATATATCAATGATACGACAATAATATACAATACATATATATCAATGATACTACATTACTGTACAGTACATATATATCAATGATGCTACAGTACTGTACAGTACATATATATCAGTGTACTACACAGTACTGTACAGTACATATATATCAACTATACAACAGTACTGTACAGTACATATATATCAACTATACAACAGTACTGTACAGTACATATACATCAATGTACTACAGTACTGTACAGTACAAATATATCAATGTACTACAGTACTGTACTGTACATATATATCAATGTACTACAGTACTGCACAGTACATATATATCAATTATACAACAGTACGGTACAGTACATATATATCAATTATACTACGGTACTGTACAGTACATATATATCAATTATACAGCAGTACTGTACAGTACATATATATCAACTATACAACAGTACTGTACAGTACATATACATCAATGTACTACAGTACTGTACAGTACATATATCTCAATTATACAACAGTACTGTACAGTACATATACATCAATGTACTACAGTACTGTACAGTACAAATATATCAATGTACTACAGTACTGTACTGTACATATATATCAATGTACTACAGTACTGTAAAGTACATATATATCAATGATACTACAGTACTGAACAGTACATATATATCAATGATACTACAGCACTGTACAGTACATATATATCAATGTACCACAGTACTGTACTGTACATATATATCAATGTACTACAGTACTGTAAAGTACATATATATCAATTATACTACAGTACTGTACACTACCTACATATCCATCATCCTACAGTACTGTACAGTACATATATATAAATGATACTACAGTACTGTACAGTACAAATATATCAATGTACTACAGTACTGTACTGTACATATATATCAATGTACTACAGTACTGCACAGTACATATATATCAATGTACTACAGTACTGCACAGTACATATATATATATATATCAATGTACTACAGTACTGTACAGAATATATATATCAATGTACTGCAGTACTGTATAGTACATATATATCAATGTACTACAGTACTGTACTGTACATATATATCAATGTACTACAGTCCTGTACAGTACATATATATCAATGAACTACAGTACTGTACAGTACATATATAACAATTATACAACAGTACTGTACAGTACATATACATCAATGTACTACAGTACTGTACAGTACATATATTAATGTACTGCAGTACTGTACAGTACATATATATCAATACTTGAACGAGGGAGTTTCGAGGGAGGGAGATTGATAAATTTTGGTCAAAATGGGGATGTCTCCCTCCTAATGAGGGAGGGTTGACAGCTATGTATAATTTAAAACTGCCATGTTTACAAAATGAATGTGCCAGTGATAGCTTCAATGTACTACAGTACATATATATCAATGATACTACAGTACTGTACAGTACATATATATCAATGATACTCATCCAACACTATTCTTCATGAAAAAAAAGAAGGTCATTTCATTAAAATATCAAAACCAAGTCTCAAATTTTGCACAACCTGTTTGTTCTCTTTTCTTGAGTGCATTTTACATTAAGCTGTCTACTTCCTGTTAATATGATGTTACTGTAATATGATGATATGTAATTGTGATGCTATGATGATTCACTTTTTGAATAGAACTGAAAATGGTGAAACTTGCAAGCTTAAAGACAGTCATTATTTTTATATCTTTCTATAGTAAATAATATATAAGGTCTTAGTAAATCACTTGACAAATACAGTACAATATGTATATTTTTTTCGCTCATTTCCCTGTGTGTGGGAAAGAGCTGTCCAGGGTAAAGAAAGAGGCGTAGGAAATTTCTATCTTACACCCCATTTCACCTGACGTGATGACACTGGCTCAACAATGACGTGACGTCAAAAATTTGAACATTTCTGATGCCCCAATGTGGAAAAGGCGACATGATGAAATTAAAACCTTTTGAAAACTCTGTTTGTAAATATGGGGTATGTTAAATCTGGCTGATAGATTCATTTTCGTCTACAAAGCTCACAGGAAAAATTAATATTTTCAAAATGGTAGCCAGTCCAAACGCATTTTTAGCTCACCTGGCCCTAAGGGCCAAGTGAGCTTATGGCATGGTGTGGCGTCCGTCGTTTGTCCGTCGTCTGTCCGTTCGTCTGTCCGTCCGTCTGTCCGTCCGGGGTCCGGCGTAGGTCCGGTGTCCGTCCGGCGTCAACTTTTTACTTTAAACAATTGCTTCTCAGTAACCAAAAGGCCTAGGGTGATGATATTTGGGCAGAAGCATGCTTGGATGAAGGGCTACCAAGTTTGTTCAAATAAATGACCTTCATCAATTTTCAAGGTCACAAGGGGTCAAATATGTTAAAATCTTTAAACAACTTCTTCTCAATAACCAAGAGGCCCAGGCTGATGATATTTGACTTGTAGCATGCTGGAATGAAGAGCTACCGAGTTTGTTCAAATGAATGACCTTGACCCACTTTCAGGGTCACAGGGGTCAAATGTCTTAAATTCTTCCACTGACTTCTTCTCAATAACCAAAAGGCCCAGGGTACTGATATTGGGCATGTAGCATGCTGGGATGAAGGGCTACCAAGTTTGTTCAAATTAATTACCTTGAGCCACTTTCAAGGTCACAGGGGTCAAATGTCTTAAATTTTCAAACAACTTCTTCTCAATAACCAAAAGGCCCAGGGTACTGATATTGGGCCTGTAGCATGTTGGGATGAAGGGCTACCAAGTTTGATCAAATGAATGTTCTTGACCCACTTTCAACCTAATGTCCTTGTTCCACATTCAAGGTCACAGGCGTCATATGTTTAAATCTTTTAATAGGTTCTTATGAATCAAACACTGATATTCTGCCTGTTGCTGTATTTTAGTCCACTTTTAAGATTACAAGTGTGAAATTTATACCAGGTGAGCAATGCAGGCCCATTGGGCCTCTTGTTATGGTTTCTGAGCTAACTATCGGGATTTATAAATTTTTCAAAACCCTCAGCAGAGCCTCAGGTTTTACCAAATTTGAAAAACCCTTGTGTGGAATTTCCCTATCCTACGTACATCCCTGGGCATGAAAAAGTCTTATACATGTACTATATGATAACCATTATGGGTTTATTTACTGTTTTTAATTGCTATACTTAACAAATCTTCACATTTTTCTTTGGGAGACATATTAAAATCTAAGAAAGTTTAAATATAATGTAAAAAAACCTTTAGAAAATCATAATTAAAGATGTCAGACTTGAAGTTGTTTTATGAAGTGATAAATTATGTTTGAACAAAGAGCAAGATCTAGAGTTAGAAATACAGTTAAAACTTGTCAAGCAAAAGAACTATTTCTCAAAGAAGATTGACAGATTGATATCGCATGATAGCATTGCTGACGTCAGGAAAACTTCATTGCATGTCAGAGTTCATACAACTGAAACATGGAATTTAAAATTAGGATTGGCAGGTTGATTAAAGCCTGCTATTTATCCACTTGATTATGCTATTTGTAAATGCTGAACTCTGTGACATAACGTACGTCATGAAAACCAAAATAGGATGTAGTCATCTTATTGATATTGACATGTTTGTTTTATTTATATTTACTCTGCCTGTTTTGGATGTTCATGATCTTTTACACTGCTCACACTTATGATTACTTACGTCTTGAAATCCTATGTTAGATTTGTCCATGAAATTGAGATTGACCCATGATATTTTTCACACATTTAGAAAGATGCTAATGAGTTATATGAAAAAGACATCATTTTCCCAAAATTAATGTAAAAGATTGTTTAAGAATGGATGACTAATATGCATGTTCCTGTAAGTCAAAAATATTCCCAAGCACTTCAAGTGCTCGCGCTAGCGGTCGCCACTGGCAAAAGTAAAACATGATTGGCTTGGGTAAACACAGGGTTCAACAAAAACTGTGACTACCGTATATTTACTTATTAGTATGCAACAGCTTGATTTTGAAATTATTTTATACACTGAGGTGTCCTGAAGTTTTCATTTGCAATGTCCTGAATCAAACTTGATCCTGTTGTTTAGGAAAGATGCCCCAATGACTGGATGATACATGTGAAATTAAAAAAAAAAAAAATCAAAAGAAAAATTAGTGTATTCATTTTGACACTGGGCCCCTTGTTTCCATTTGTAGATAAAATCAGTTGATATAATCAGCAAAAAATGTGAAACATGGGCTGCACCATCTAGTGGCAGTTCAGAAAAGGGAAACAACTCCATACCTATTGACCTCAATGAACCTGGCGGATTGTGTGTGGACCAGGTCCATCAGCTGCTGTATATAGCAGACACAAACAACCATGTGATCAGAACAGTTGACTTGGCTACCAGTGCAGTTTCTCAGGTAGAGTATTTTTTCTCTCACTTTAACTCATTCACCCCTGGAATTTGGTAATGAACTATTTCAACCTTTGAATTGGAAGAGTTTAATTGTGTCTTCAGGGGTGAATTAGTTAAGGTTTCCCATCCCACTACAGAATTTCAGTTTGTATGGGACTGGTGAGGCGGCAGCATATCATGTCACAAATGTACATTGTATCAAAATAATCATGCTGGTGGATGGGGGAGCGCACAGAGTCTTTTCGATATCTCAAGTTATTTTCAACAGATTGATTTCAAACTTCATGGGAAGGTTAACTACCTTGAAAGCGATGAGCAGTTTGATAACCATCATTGTCTGGCTGTTATTTACAGAGTAATGTCCCTTTATTCAATTGCTCAAATGGTGTCGGTTCGATATCTATAGTTCTTTGCAATGGATTGACTTCAAAACTTCATAGGAAGATTAAATACCTTGAAAGCTGAAATGAGTTAGATAACCACCATTATCTGACAGTAATTTATGGAGTGATACCCCTTTCTTCAATTGCTGAAAAGATGGTCGCTTGATATCTTGATTAATTTTCAACAAATTTTCTTCAAAAAGCCCTGGAGGGTATATATGTTTCTCTTGTCCAAAATAATTTTATACTGACAGTAGTCAGGTGCGAAATATTGGTTTCCAAAGCTACAGTTCAAGGTAGTGGAATGGGGATCTTAAAGAACATGCTGTTTAGGGGAAAATGCTGTAAACAATTGGATATCTGTTAGTTTTTGCAATATTTTTATGAAGTCACTTTGTTACTCTCACCAAAGCCAAAACAAATTGATGACATCCTCAATTCTCATTATTTCCTCTAGCTCCCTATCCTTTTTCCAAACCCTGATGAGGCAGACGGTACCAAGGAGAAGCAAGTTAAGGACTTTGTGAAGCCAAGCACGGTTGTCATAGATTTGCCGCCAGTACACATTGCACCTGCTACAAAGGTGGATGTGAGACTGCACATTCCACTACCCGACGGACATCACTTCACTGACGAGGCTCCCAGTAGCTGGTTAATGGTTTGTAAAGGTACGATCTAATATATGATTTTAAGAGATCAGCACTTTAGTAAATCGGTTTACTAGCAATATTTGCAATAGTTAACAATATATAGAAACCTAGGCCCACTTGTATAAAACATCTCAACTCTTGAGATTTCCTCAAGTCTAAGATTTCCCATAGACAATACATTGCTTGAGATTTTCCTTAATTTTGAGATGTTTTATACAAGTGGGCCCTAATAATTAGAGCTTTCATAATTACATGTACTAATTATACGTACAAAAAAGCTAAAATACGATGTCCACTAAAACATTTATATTTACAGTAGTTTATTCTTTAAAAACGTTTTAAAATAATTCGTATTATAATATTATTACTTTTCATATTTTTTCTCCAGATGAGGCAAACACAATTTTGAACATTGAATTTGATACAAATGGTCGTATTGAAAGTTCTGAAGAGCAGTCCCTGATGTCCTTCACCTTGCCAAGTGACCTTGACCTTCAGAAATATGTCCACCTGTACATCAAGTGCCGCGTGTTCTACTGTGATGATAGCAATGTCTGTCGCCTGAAAGAAAATGTGTACAAACAAGTTATTTTCTTTAAGGATATGGCCGAGGCCATCGCCAGTCAATCTGTCCTGTTGAATTTCACATTTTAAATGTCTCGAGGGCAAGAAATGCAATCAAGCCCTCTTCATTTGGTAACTGACATTCCCAACAAAAAGAAGCTGGAGATAAACCGGCTGGATAACTTTGGGTAGAAAATGGAAATTCCCCCATGACTGAATAGTTACAGAAGTTGTTAAGGTATTTTGCTGCAAATACAAAGTGTGACCACATTATATTTATTAGCTCTTTCGTTTTGAAAAGTACTAGATAACATTTTACATAAAAAGATATTTGTGAAAACAAATTGCTTTTAGTCAAATGTATATTATGAATCACTTTCCTTTTTCGAGATATTTATGTTTGTTCCATTGACTGAAGATAGACAGATATGTGTTCAAAGGTCTTGTGAATAGCTGCTCCAACAAGGTTTATATTAATATTTGCTGTAATTGTTCCAGTCTTTGCTTGTGTAAGTGGTGTCACAATCTCCTTACATTTACCTGACATACTGTATACCTAGGTCTTTCAGTAAATTTTTACTGAACATTTGTGTGCCTTGCTGACGCGTGGGATGGGATGGAAAATACTGCAGACAAGAATTGGAACCCAGATACTCCTAAAAGAGCTGTGTACCTGGTAGTAAGGGATAAATACCTACTATGTATACATCATGCCTCTTTTTCAATGCCATCAAAGACTACACTATTTACAACCCAAGTTCATGTTCAGGTATCCCCCTGCAAAGAACACATTTCTAAAAATGGTTGGTGAATTTTTAACAGGACAACGTTTTTTAACAGGACGGGAACAAAGCAACTTAACAGGCCAGTGTGGGACTCGTACCCCAAACTGATTAACTCTGTACAGATGTTTTGGTGAATCAAGTTTTGTTTGTTCCTAGTCGCAGGTGATTGACCAAGTTCAATCTCACCATATACATATATAATATGTGATCTTTAATACATTTTGGCCAATTTATACTTAACCTTATTGGTTTAAAGAAAATTTGAAGGAAATCTTTCATAAACTTGAACTTTGTAATACTTTAAAACATTAGGTTCAAAACTAAAACTATATGGGATTAACATTACTGAAAAAGTATGATTTTTTTAAAACATTATTGGATGTTTAAAAAAAATTGATGATACAATATTGATTGTAATAAATAATCATAATAACCTTTATTTTCTGAGGATAAAACCTATTAAGCAAAGCTTATCTTCCACAGGGTCCTCTGAATTGCTTAGGATTAAATATTCATGGTATATTTTCGTTTGCAATGATTTTTTCCCCACTTGATTGCTAAATTAAAAGCTTTTTAAATGACCTGTGTGGGAGCTGTGATAGCCATTGATTCAAAGGTGCTGATACACATATATATGTGTATTATTTTATGTTCAATAATATATATGTGTATTATTTTATGTTCAATATGAGGATGGAATGTATTTTTTATATTCTTTGTGTTACTTGTTGCATTCTTACAGCTTGTATTTTATCGTTTGGTAAATATGTATATTTATATGTTTTAGATATTTGCCACCTTTTATACTATTATATATATATTAGAGATAATATATTAAAACCTCAAATATGAATAAGTTTTTTTTCTTTTCTGTTACATGTAGGTAGATTTCGATATCAAAATCTGTTTGGCTTTAAAATTTAAAAAGATTGCTAGGTATAATAATTGCAATCATACATTAAAAAATAATATTGGAGATATTATTTCGGAAAATTAAAAGATAAATTATATTTCCTGCTACATCAAACATATAACCTAGACGAAAACTATAAATACTAAAAGGGGAAATGTGACAGGGGGGATTTATAATTCAAATTCAAAATTTTATTTGCACATTTGTAACTACAAAGTAGTTTTAAGGCAAAATAGAAAAACACAGTGAAATACATAAATAGACATGTATAAAAACATAATTGTTGTGTGAGGGTAGAAGTGGAAATGTTTTTACTTGATGGATGACCTGTGCTGAATTATCATACTACACTGTGACGTTTATGTATAACCCGGTATTTGTCATACTACACTGTGACCTTTATGTATAACCCGGTATTGGCTGGTCAATTATTAAGAATGATAGTAATATCCCTTTGAATAAACGCAATCTTCCAGATAAGATTTCTTATATTCTAGCTTGAAATGGCGTTATTCCTTATACAAATTGTTACCCCACGGGTTGAATGCCTACCCGTTGGTTGTAATGTCTAGACCTCCATCGGGAAGGGATAATTTATATTGTGTTAATTTTATCTCCACGGCCCATCCTGGGACCTATCACAATATACTGACAATGCATGCTACAGTATTAATCACCCCAACACAACAATACCCTAATATCATCACGAAGAACCCCTGCGCGATACATTGTATCATCCGGACCAGTAAAAGTGATTAATATAAATTGACAATCTTGTTTCATTATTGGTGTAAAATAAAGTGTTATACAGTATGACAAATGTGACGATTTGAAAATGCTTTTGTCGAAAGTAGCAGACCTGTCCCTCTTTCTTATGGAGTTCACATGTTACAGTTGATGTGCTATTCCAGATCTTGTTTTAATTCTCGATGTTTTCAGCATAGATGCGTCCTACTTAGCCAGGATGTTTTCTGCTTGTGAGAAATTTAACAATCGTCATTTGGACCTGATTTGAAATTACAAAGTACATATTTGTATCCGTTTCTTTTATGATATATGTGACCACTGTAGCTACAACGTCATCAAGTTCACGGGTTGTCACGAAGTCATACTACATGTGTGTCACGTCGATATCTGGGCCACTATTCATGAAACTAGTCTCGTGCTCAAGCATGGATTTTGTGCTCAAGCATGGATTTTGTGTTCAAGCCGAATTTCTTGTTCTTGTTATTACTATAAAATGAATCTTACGTTGTCAATGATTTGGAAACATTTTGAAGAGACTTAAAGCCTTATACCGTTTTCAATGTTCACATTTGTCTTTTCGATCGTTTGACATGGTCTAAGCGAGTAACAAGAAAGTTGGTTTGAGCAAAGAATCCATGCTTAAGGAGGAGAAAGGTTTCATGAATATATTAATTACTATGGACCCTGTTATTCCAGTTCATTCTGTCCCATGTAAAATAACATAACCTTAATTCGAACACAAAACCGATGAAAGTACGACATATTAATACGAACAAACGTAATATTTACATGGAGGCTGAATCGTTTAGAGGGACCTTCTAAAAAACGCTATCTATAGTCGTTTCGATGGAAGGCATTATATATATGTACTTAATACAGGCCCGTACATTAAACACCGATCTAGTGCAATTCTGAGTTAATCTAACCGCATGATTGACACAATTCTCGACCTACATCAAATCCCATTGACCACTTTCTCAGTTGAACACACAACTCGCCATCAAGATCTCATTTCGTAACATTAAACAGAATGCACTGTGTGCTATGTTACATGTTTTAACAACTACTAGAAATACAAAATATAAGGATGAACTATTCAAAAGTTAAGCGAGTTTGAAATGAAATAGATCCAAAATATGTTTGCTGGGGAACGGGAAATACTTGATAATGCTACGCAATCATACGTAAGTGCCTTGGGTACGATATTAAATGAAAAATTCATTTATGACTTATTAGACAGACATACTGCCGCTTTCTGAATTTGATAACATTTCAAATACACGACATGAGTGTTTTCTATATTTTCTTTTGAAAGGAAAGCTAAAACTTGTCAATTGATTTTCCGCTTAATGTTAATTAAGTGAACTGCTTTAAATTCTTGGGAAATAAATATACCGATGCTTTTGATCACAGTATGGACATATTTCCGTTTATTTACTGTTTAATGTTACGAAATGAGATCTTGATGGCGAGTTGTGTGTTCAACTGATAAAGTGGTCAATGGGATTTGATGTAGGCCGAGAATTGTGTCAATCATGCGGCTAGATTCATTCAGAATTGCACTAGATCGGTGTTTAACGTACGGGCCTGATAACATACAGGCTATACTTTCTCTCTAGCTCGTGTTAGCTTAGTGTATCCTCTGTGAAAAATACTCTGAATGCAATTATACAGCCTCTTTCTCATACAATACAACTTGACTATGTTGGTACCCAATAGGTTAGTGTAAATAGTTCGCTTAAAACATTAACATAAATTGAGTGTGCAATGTCAATGAAATATCGGCTCTTGATATGAATAAAACGTTATTGAGATAAAGAGGTTTACTCTGACTGAAATATACCCCCTAGTGTAGCACGCACCTGGCGAGATTACCCAATGCCCAATGCACTGTGTGGCCCGACAAGTACGTTTAAAACACTGTTCATTTCTGCCACGCGCCAGCTTTCACGATGATGAGAAATAGTTTTGTTGTTTGCATCGTCAAGTCACGTTCTCCCCGAAGATGTATATTGCTGAAGACAATGGTATAGCATGTCGGTATGTGATTTGAAGGTCGATGTTTTTTTTATTATGCTCTGTGGTTTGCCCGTTGTCACTACCCCGTTTCTGGCTACGAGGACGTGACATCACGTTGATTTGACCTAGATTACATGCTGGGTGTCGTCGCCTAGCCTACCTTTCTAGAGCACCTGGTCTTATTCCCCTTGTACTTTTTCAAGGGTATCCACGTAGATTTTGTCCATATTTTGCCCTGGTTTATGCCATCTAAGTACGTTAACTTTCAATAACGTTAATTCACCCAGTCCTTGAAACAAGGATTGGCAAGTTAGTGAAATAAGGAACGGGAGAGAAGGAAATGCACTGCCAGACAGGGATTCGAACCCTTGACCCTCATAACTCTGGACGGACGCTCTACAAAACGAGCTACTGTACCTGGTCGCCGGCGATCGACCCAGTCCAGTTCCGCTGCAAGTGTTCAATCTCGGGTTTCATCAGTTGAAGTTGGTACTATATCGTCAGTATTAGTTAACAACTTATATAAGATACTTACATTGGCTGATTTATTTAACCGTGAATAAACCAAACCAAAATTAACCGTGAATGAAGCGAAGAAAAAAATTAGTCAACAAAAACTCGTAATCCGTTGCATCAAAAATTAATCATAAATTCGCCAATATGTCCTTGTGTTCGTTGTTTTGTTTGTTTTGCATTTCAATTCGATGGCTGACATATACCTTCGTGGGGTTGACGTCATTGCTATGATTCTTGTAAACCAATATTCCTGAATGAGATTATAGAATTTTAGAAAACTGATCATGCGATAGGACAGGAGTGTGTTGTACTATCGATCAATACTTGAGTTGAAGGGTTTGTATATGTCTATGATTCTGTTAGGTTATATCGCATACCTATTATATCATAAGTTCAATGTTTACAAGAGACAAAAATGTCCCTTATCTGTCTGACGACGATAGTACATTCCTCCCATAACGAAGGATAGGCTCATTCCCCATAGTCACAGATACATATCACTTGATACAAGTCATTTCAGATGCTTTGCTTTTTAAAACAAATATTTGCATACTATTAATAACACCAATAAATACATTTAAGCATTCCTCAAGATACACATTAATGTTTGCTCTCCTGTCTTTTTGGGTGCTAAGTGTATACGATGTGTGCCATTTCCCCGTATAAACTGTCGATTGAACTAATAAGGTGACAGCAGACAATCTGAAATTGTTATTTTATGGATTTCGTTGACCTGGTCGCCATTGGCCCCACCAATAAATTACGCTGATCTGAAGTTTCGAAAATGTTGCATTTCCAAACGGTCGCAAGATAGGATAAAACGGGACCTCTGCAGAATCGAAAACCTTTTTTGGCCACGACTTGGGGGACACTAAATGGTGCTCGAACTGGAAATGGAGAGCTTTGTTTCCTCAATCTGATACTTATAGGGAAACCATATACAGCATAAAGGCCTGTGCTTACTTTAGTGAATTGCATACAACACCTATGTGCATTCAAATGTACAAATATCATCAGTGATAGACTTAAGGATGTACACCTCTGAGAAGTCAAAAAATTCCTGTATTAAACTTTTTTTCTTATAAGGATTTTTGGAAAAAGGAGTTAATGGCATAGTAGAAAATGCAAAAAAAAAATAGATGTCCGTTTGTTCGTTTTTGTGCTATGATTGGTCAAAGAAACCAATTTAACACAACATGTGATTTTAGGTGATTTTTTGGGTTTTGACCATTTGCCGAACAAATTCATACAATTTCTTCCAAATGTGTTATCAGATATGTATGAATGTTTGTAGAATTAATGAAAATATTATTTTCTTTTAAATTATAGAAGTAAAATTTCTTAATCTTATTCTTTTAACTCAGAAAGCCGATTTTAGTTACCCCTACCCCCTATATTTTAATGAAAAAATACTAATTTTTTACCATTTTTTTGCAGATTAAAAGCTTGATATAAAAAGTTCTGGTATATAACTTTTTTTGATATTTAATTAATTAAATGAAAATGTGTTTCTCTTTCTAAAACATCTACAAAAATGGGGGGTCAGTGTGCTTCTTTTTTTTGTCCCATTATCAGTTGTGTTATTTTTTTTACCTTTTTCAGGGTCAAAAATCAAAAGTGCTTCAGTTACACTAAATACGTAAAAGAAATCCAGTTTGTTGCATACTATTTTTATCATATTGAACATTATAAAGTTGTATAGCAAAATTGAACCTGCTACAATTAAAGATGGCGACACAATGACAATTTAAGTGATCAATCTAGTGTCAAAAAAGGTGAAATTTTGGCCTTTTTTGAAGCGCAGGAAATACACATTAATACACATATTCAAAATGGCCGCCGAATTGGTAATTTTTTTAAAATTCTTGTTCTAAACAACAGGCATCTAGTTTTTTGACATACTTTTCAGATGCGTGTTTGCTAATAAACTTGATCATAATTTGTTAAATATTACAAAAACCCATTACACCAGATCAAAACGAGACTTGAACGTGATTGAAACCTCAGAAGAGTACATCCTTAANAAAATCACGCTTATGTAACTTGTAAACAAGTTTTTGTATTCTGTCATGCTTTCTTGCGTTGTATATAATATAAACTAGAAAACGGCAATGTTTTTCTTGTAAGCTTTAATTTTATCACAAAGAAACACGATACCAGCCGATGTCCTTACTCCATCGTTTCCACAGCCTTGACCGGGAAGTGCAGTATAGTTAAACTCGTTTATATAAACAAGATAACAGTCTCGTATAGTTAGACATGTGAACGTTGTGGTATTTTGTCTATCCGTGTTTCAAAGTTGTTCCTAATTTTGTCTGATTGTATACAAGTGGTCTGTTTTGACGTATACGTCGTTAAAGCCCACGCGTTTGCACCAAACAATGTATCTATTCAGATATCATTCCAGAAGTAACCCATCAGCGCTGTGATTTGGCTATGTCCTTTAAAAGACGGACAGACTTTTAGCGATTTCGTTGATCAAGGGATAGCTCCAGACGCCTTATCGTTCTATTTTTGGTACGATAGATATAATTTGTCTTCCTACTGGCTATTCGGACTTAAGATTTCATACTTTCGTCAATAAAAGGCAACATGGCAAATCCTCTTGTGATATGCATTTATTCAATCAGTGACAACCGAGTACCGAGTACCCAATTCAAACATCTAGGGGCTAGCTACTTATAACTGTATAAAAGTCACAGCTATTTCTGTAATTTCAACGCTTACAAATAGGTGAATAACTCGCATAATCATGAAAACAAGTGTTCTTGTAGACAGGTCATATATACAGTAAGAGTATTTGATTTGCTTTCGTTCTTTAAATTATATTAAACGTTATGGATATTTTCCATTGATGCTACCAGAGTTACTTTAATTCAAATGACAAGTTTTAATAAAACAAATAACACTGGACGTACACTTGGCCAATGATAAGTTCTGAAATGTTCGTAATATTTAGTCGTAAGTGGCAGTCGTAAAGATAACATTAAGCCGTCTGAAGCTGCTTCAAAGCTGATTTTTAGTCGTAGGCAGATAACATCATGCAGTTACTGTATTGAATGCACGTGGCGGGGCAAGGTAAAGTTTCAGTTTGAAAGTATACCCGTCTTATAGTACAGCAACAAAATTTAAGCTTGCTATAAATCGTGATTGAATTTTGAAATGCAATTTTCTATTTTTTTGATGAAAAGTAATTACATTTTACGAGTATGGTGAATATCGGTATATTTTGCCTTACGAGTAGAAATGTAAATTTGGTATTCAACGAAACTGTTACTGATTAAAAATTGCTGATTTTAGTAGTGTAATTACTTTTCGCGCGAAAACAAGGCTTCGCACCATTTCAATGGGCTACACTATGCAGTTGTTACCGTGTTGTGCTAGTATTTTGTAAGATTTTCTTGCACGAATGATTGTCTAATGTGTAGTTAATATAAGTAAACATATTAGGGAAAGTAGCAAAGGTTTACAAATACATCCACTTATCTTAACTTCGCTTCATCTGAAATGAAACCATGCGGCTTTGAATAAACAGTACTATTCTGGTTGGTCATTCATTAAAGTGATATCTTCACTGTTTTTTCCGTATTAAGTCAAATGAAACATTTTCCGTATTAAGTTAAATGAGAAAAGTCCTCGTTTTTTCTCCAATAGTGTTTTGTCTCATGCAGAAGTCGGTACATTGCACTGTATTTTAGCAAGGATTTTTCGAGTATCACATTTATCGTCATGTTGATTTTTATTGTCCTAGCAATAACAAGGTTCATTGTGTCTTTTCTTCTTCAAAAATACAAAAATGATTATGTCTGATCAAATGAGTCAATCCAAAATAGCTTTGGAACATTTTGATTGAGCAACAGATCGTCTACCAAAACTTGTTGTCCATTCTGATTCGAATATTTTTAGGACGATTAGGTTTGAAATTAATATCTGTGGTTCTCCTCAGACTTCTCAGTACACGTAAATGTCAAAGTTTGTGAGCCAATGCAATACTAGGCTTTCTTCTATTCATTTCTCTGAATTTGCATGCATTTATACTTATCCTTCACAAAACCATTTTTTAAAATTCAACGATCGTTTCGACAATAATGTTTCGATAGATAAATGACAAAATGTAATTGTTTTTTTAATTATTTATTCAGTAAAACACAACGATGTCAGTATACAATGTTAGTAGCATTTGATCGAAAATTTCATTGAGTGACACCTGTTTTGTATAATCGTGCGTTTAAGTTTTGCACATTTTGCAGACGTCATGTAAAATCCATGATATACTTTTAACATTACTCCTCCGTTCACACATGAGATACCATACAAAAAACAAAAATCGCACACACAAATTCAAGCAGAAATATATGTATAGATGCACGTCCGTCAGCTATACATGGCATTATTATGAACTGAAATGGTTGAGAAATAGCTACTTAAGTACATATATCACAAATGAGATTCGGGCTATACAAATGTACACATATTATAACACCCAGATTGAATGTGATCACACATTAAACAAAGCAAAACATTGGACATTTTTGAACAACAAAATTAATCAAGGAGCCTCACAAACAAATTAGAAATGAAATGAAAGTAATGGCGAACAGTTGACCAACACGTGGTGTGTTTGTATGCCATGGATGGACAATGTATACCATGGGTTTTAGTCTAAATAAAAGTCTATATATTCGCAATGTTATCTAAGTTTAACACTGGGCCAACATGCAGACATAAGCTGACACAATATCAACTGGAAACGGCAAATTCCATGAAGTGTGATAAAGCATCAACGTGTAACTGCGTGATCCTAATTGGCATTCATTTTTAATACATATGTATGAAAACCAACTTAAAGCAGTTCCATGATCATAACTATTTAACTATTTTTTCTTGAATCTAAAACTTGACATTACTTCTAAGAAATCAGAACTTAGTTCAGATAAAACATTTATCACATATTTAGTATGCATTACCATCATGGTGTTATAATAATGATGACGTCAGCACTCGGCTAATGGCAGTCATAGCTCCTATGGTTGCTAACTGCTTTTTCAGTCATTGTCGTTGGGAGGCTAGTGACGCACATATGTTCTTGATATTTGTTCGAAGTAAGCTATGTGATAGAATTAAGTACTTAAATCGAAACACGTTCGTATAAACACTTTCAAAAGAATTTCCAGATGGCCATGATGGCTCAAAGCGTTTGACAAAGTGATACCAAGCATGGCTTTGACTCCCGGTGTTGGTTGTAATTGGTTGTCAGACCCAGAAGAAAGGCTAATAAATAATATTAAAAGTAGCCACACCTCATTATTAACATTCACAAAAATCATTCATCATAGCTGCAACTACTGCACGCGTGCCACACATTTCATTTACAGCAAATCATCTTTTGAAGTTTTCTATGGGTGTCTATTGTTGCTAGCCGAGTGGCCCGATGTATTTGGCGAAGAGAGACTGTCTGTTAATAAAACACTCGCATCCTGATCGAATCTTCTGAGTATAGACCTCCCATGCGTCTACCAAAACCTGTTGTCCATTCTGTATCATTATGCGACATCCTCCAGGTCGTCTCCGTAGCATGTTTACGTATATAAAACTTTGTTTACAGGCACCGTGAGCTGTAAAATAAATACATAGTTACAGAACAAATACTTGGTAGAATCAATAGTGTAGTATGCACACGAATCATAAAGGCATAAGAAGTAATACACTTTAGAAAACTATGATATCGCAACAGATATTCTTTTCTTTTCAAAACAAACTATAAAATAAACAAAACTTTGACTTAGGGCATAGGACTAAATTAATAACAAACTTGAAAACATTTTTTTTTCTACCCACATGAACGGCATGATTTGAAAATGAGCTAAAACAACTTAAATTTAGCTTAAGTTAAAGTTTGCCTCAGCAAAATGGCGCAAGTGCTAAGAGCTAAAACAGACTAATGAAAATGTGTATAAAGTAACTTAAAACCGAACTTACGTGTGCCACGGACGGTCAGGCACGTTCTGTCACTTGTTCCGCAAACAATCTCGTTAAGATACGGCGGGAACTTGTCTGAAGCTAAGGTGGTGGTAGCTGCGCACTCGTCACACATGTGTAAGAACCCATCAGCAGTAGCGTTGCCCTTCTGTCGACAGTACTGTATGACGGACGTCGAACCTACGGTAGAGAACAAATCGTAAAAAACGAAAATATACGTTTACACTGATATAATTATCTGACCAGAAATTTATCGTTGATCCGCGAGTGTTTTGTAGTTAATCGAGGGAAATATGATGGTTGGTCAACAAGAACGGGAAATACAGGTAGGAGTTTATCCAGTTCGTCGCGAGTGCTATAATGGTTGTTGGAGAAATAATATGATATATACAAATTAAATTCATATAACAGTTTGTATTCATTATTACTCTCTGTTGGTGAAATAATATTTTATAAATATATAATATACAAATTAAAATCATATACATGTAACCTTCCGTCGGTACTCATTATTACTCTCTGTTGGAGAAATCATAGTTCATAAATATATAATATACGCATTAAATTCATATAACCGTTCGTCCGTACTTATTATAACTCTCTATTGGAGAAATAGTAATTCATATATATATATATATATACATATATAAGTCTGAAGAATCTCCTAGAAGAGATGAAAGTACTAAAGACTCGTTGTTGAGAATTTTTTCTTTTTATATATACATGTATAAATATGAATTATTATTTCTCCAACATAGAGTTATAATAAGTATAATATAATACACAAATTAAATTAAATAAATTCATATAACCGTTCATCCGTACTCATCATTACTCTTTCTGGGAGAAATACAAGTAATAATTCATGTATATATATAAATTAAGTAACTCACCATCTGTACTCCTAATGACTCTCTGTGGTCCAAGTCTAGAGCCCGGATCTAGTCCTTGTAATATGCGCGGATGCGTACTGATATTGAAACTGTTCATCAGACCCATCACACCTTCGGATCTAATTGAATTGCCTTGTAGTAACAGCTCTATTTGTTTATGAAGTTGTTCCAATTTGGACTTCAACTTTTGATCAACTATTGCACTTTCTTGTTGATGGTCATTTGTACTAGACATGGAATCCTGATTTACACTTCCAAACACATCCGGTGTTGTTGGAGATCCTCCCTGTTCCACTGATTGGGTGGTTGAATGCATTGAAGACACAGTAGCTCTGGGTAATGTTCCATTGACCACTTGCTGTTTTAACGACGACCATTTATTTAAATCTTCTATCAAGGTCTGCTTGGCAATCTCGTTGTCTGTGACAGGATCGAAGTCGAACGTTCTGTCAATTTGGTCATCCTTATAAAAAAGATAGGTGTTTTTGTACAATATGAACAAAATCTAATTTTATTAATATTAATTCCGGTTCCCTCATTGTCTGGGTATGAGTTATTTGCTAATCACATATTTTCTTGGCAAATATATTCTAGTGAATTTCTATGGTGATAATCACAACTGACTTAAATGGGTGTTTTGTTTTCAGATGTAATAATTTAAAGAACATGACAGAGTTTCGTATCTTACAGTCTGCGATACAACATACAGCAGTGTACACAATTAAATTCCCTTGGACGTTGAAACTTCAGCCATAAACTAATGAAATGTTATTTACTCAATAAAGATACACATTTCAAAAATATTGATAATATGGTAAAGTTTGAATAAGTTAAGTTTCCAAATTGGGAAATCGCATTATGCAATGCTTTTTTGTGTCTTAAATAAGTATCAATTGACAAGTCAGAAACTCGTTGCTAGCTTAAAGCACCGTCGCTAACGTGTACATATGTATATGTAAAATGTACATGTATGCCTGCATAAAGGAAATAAAATAGTAATACCATTTACCATAAATGGTGTAGGTACATTGAATAACAGATGCATATTAGTAATGGCACTTAACGTAAGTGTTGATGACGTCTAAGCCTGCGTAATTTGACGTCGAAAGTTTGAACTGTGTCTTGATAATGCTTTGGTATTATTTATATTTAAAATAAAAAAAACATTTGGATGGATTGGACAATTCATATATCAAAACATCATTGCAACGTACACATATAAGATCCCCATACCTCTGTATATTGTGTCAGTGGTATTAAATTTGGGAACTGATCTGCTGCTGCTCTTGCAGCCGCCATGACACTTGGGTTGAACGAGCCCCCGTTCGCGTGCAGAAGTTCCAACATCTGTGCGTCTGTGAGCGTCATTTTCCTTGGGATACCTATTGACGTTGACGGACATAGCATAGGCATTGAATGTGAAAGCATGAAATCGAAATCAGGCATTGGCGCTGATGGTGTTGCGTATGGGGGATTGACTCTTCTGGCTCCAATGCGTCTCCAAGGACCTACAGTGAAAAGAATGATGTCAAATATGGTTAAAGGATAACAATAAGAAATACGAAATTATAGCTTTACACACATGTAAATATTCATAATCATTATAAACCCATGGCGAAAAATAAAAATATTCATTTTCATTGTTTGTATTCTCTTCTTCATGTTGAAATTATAAGCAAAACCTATTTCATTGAGGCTTTTACATTTTCAATGGGTGTTTTGCCTCCTCTTGGTTTTGCTTCTGAGGTTTTATGTTGGTTTTCCCCCTTTTTAATGTTAACTAGCTCCTGTTGTTTTCTTTATTTTCCTAAGTTTTTCTTGTGTGTTGATAATGTGCGTTTCAGCTTGATGTTCGAAGCAAATTCTTCTTTAGAATAATGATTTAAATATGCTCCAAACATTAATGGTATGGATGCATCTACATATATTGCATGTGTATACATGAACGCTTATTTTGTGAAATGAATTTTATTGACAAGTCTGTTTAATGCATTATCAATCAAATCAAATTAATCCACACGCTACGTCACTCACAAAGATCACTTACGAGCACAAAAGCAACATAAGATACGAAAGTAAATACATGTACTCAGAATAAATAGTTGTAATTTTTATCGGATGTGATCACGTTATTTACGGCAGACGTTGTATTTGACCACTAGGCAGTAGCTCTGTGTATTGTATATTTTATATATTTATCTAAATGTGTAAGGCGTATCACTAGATAATAATTGCTTTGTAAACAACAACAGATGATAATACTAAGTAATATTCAATTAAAAGTGGGCGTGTTATCTTACGGTAATATGAGGGGTGGTATATTGCATAACAACACTGCAATGGCAGTATCAATTGCTGCATTAACTTTCCATGGAAACTGAATCGTGTAAATATAACGGAATTTCATTTTAGTGCAATATAAATAAGAGATATATTTGCAAAGTAGTTGTACGTTTGTATGAATAACTGGTAATTTGTTTGTGATGTTATGCTTTCATGCCTACCTGACATCTCACTTTGTATAGATATATTATATCAATATATGAATAGCATGACATGATACAGAAGTGCTTTACTACATAATTTGTCCCTCTAAAATATACAAGAAGGATACGTAAAAGATAAATATGTTGTCACCTTAAACAGTACCATACAGGCGGTGGCAATATATATTCATTAAAGATGTATCTTTATCTATATCATAACATACTTCGTTGCAAAAGTTTTTAGAACAGAGATTCTTAAGCCTCTGTTCACAAATTAAATTAACTTTCCATTAAACATTATGCTGCTGGTCTTCGGCGGGAAAACAGTTATTATCGATTCTTTCGGAAGCTCAGACATCAGGACAAATGAGTTTTTATTACATTATGATATGCTTACCATTAATAGCAGAGGCATCGCAGTTTGAGCAAGAAAAATATCCAAGTATTCCAACCAGTACGAGTAGCATCCTTCTGTAAAACAATTTGGGGTATATATAGTCAATTAATTCCATTGTAACTCTTTCTGTTCAATGTAGAGCTTTATAAGAAGGCCCATTTGTAATATTTCTTTCATAAGGCAGCATATGGGGTACGCAGTCCTGCTATCCTCCAGTGCAAGGTTTGATCTAAACTCTACCTCCCCCACTGAGTGTGGAACGTTCGAATGAAAGATATCTAGAGCTGAGTAAGGCCCCACGTGGTAAGGTGAAGGACATCGTGTTCCCGAGTGATAACATTTACCTACAAAGGTATTGATTTTGATTTTGAATCTTTCACACGTAGCCCCATGGATCCCAATAATCTTAGTTAGGTTAGACTAATATGTTAGTGAACAAGATTCATTGATGTTCACAAGGTCTTGGCTATATATAACACACCGTAAACATGGCGGCATTATGCTCATGCAATAACCTTCATCATGGAATTGGTTATTTTGTTGTTGTTTATCAAATCGGCGAAGCCGTTGAATATATAATTCGTTTGAAGCTGACCGGTCTTATTTTCAACGCGTTGACCAGTCGGTCAGGTTCTAAGTATGAACTTAGATTAATATGGATCATGGCAACTTCCCCGTAAATACATACTATGTGGTATATACGGTCAATGTCTACCTCTGGAACTGTAAGTAGTCTAGTGGACATACATTTGAGCTATATTGCACAGCGTTCAGCAAGGTTATGTTTTAAATTTCAAAGCTAATATAAAAAAAAACTATCAGAAACCAAATATTTATGCATGCAATGTTTTATTTCACGACATTTATACAATGTACCTTATACATAGCATACAGTTCTCTTTTCTAGAACATGCATTTTAATGAATTAGTTTATGATACCGATTAATAAAAAAATAGTGATATTTGTATTTATGTAATTCAATTTGCTGGAATAGTTACTATTGATTAACAATTAAATAATGTTGGTGTTTTTTCAAGTTGCAAGTATTATCAATTATATTACATATATATTTTATATTCTTAATAATTGATGTTTTGTAAGTTTTTAAAGATTCTCTTTAAAATTAATAAAAAGGGCACCCACATATACCAAAACAGAAAATCAACTGTTCAAATTTATATCCCTGAAATCGAAACACACGGTTATTCAATCAAAATGTTTGGTTACATCAAACTCAAAATTTTCGTTAATCTTATTTTGGTTATTCCGGCGAATGCGTTATTTTGTATCAGTATGCGTTGATGCGTTGCATGTTGAAATCACGATGATTATTCATATTCATATTACTCCTTAAATCTGCTGTAAAACACGCATTTATAACAGCCGATTGTCTTTAGTTTGAAGAAAAATGCATGCCCTCTGTAATGATATTTATCTCTACGATATCATAAAGCAAATACAGCTACACATCACGATCCTATTGCTGTGCTTCCTTCATAAATAATATGTACAATTTTGGCAAACTCGCCTTGAAAACCTACAATTGTATAATAAAGCATAGCCTGTTGACATACTTGCCTTAAAACCTATAATTTCATAATAAGAACATTGTCTATCCTGTATTGATGTTTACACAGTATTTCGCGTCAGATGGAAGAAAAAATAAGAAAAAAATCATGTTACATAATTCATGGTACAATATATGGATAGTTTCCTTACCTTTTATTTGTGCTGTCGATGCCCCTTAAAGTTCTCATCGTTATATAAGCTGGCTCCATATATACTGAAATGGAATTCAATATAAAGATGTTCTTTTAGAGTATATTTTGAGGATGTATTTTTTAACCTTTATACACCGTGCTTGGCGCATGCCAGACCTTCCTTTCATTTGCTATGACGTCAGAATTCGAATCAAGGAGGATGCCTGTTTCTCTACAAGTTGTCTTAAAAGACATAGGACATCTAAAAGTCACGTCGGTCATCCATGCTCTTTGCTTGCAATGGTTTCATTGGATAAGTATACGTAAGTTCGATGACGTTTTCATCTTTTGATATAGTGCTATATCCGAGTATTTGTCTGTTGAGAGTGGATCGCACACAAACATTGTAACTAGGTTGATAGTCAAGTTGTATACACCTAGCAATACAAATCTGATGGTTATCCGTCTGTCAACACATCCTGCTGACAGTGTGAATATACTTATGCTTTTAATAAACTAAGAGATTACATATCGTACTTGCTATATATACAAATGTATTATCGGCTCTGCTAGTTTGACTGGAGTTGGGTTATCATTTCACATCATACCAACAGTCGGTATTAACATTCTGTAGAAAATGTCATGGTGCTATAGTGACACAGGAAATAAAAATATGTTAAGGTTACTTTACTCAAGTTTGTGTCTTGCGGTGTGATGTTTCTTATACACCATTAACAGGAAGTCACGATCGTCCGACTTCTGTGATTGGACACACCAGAACTGATGGGAAACTGATCTACCAACCCAGCCATTGTGTAACGAAAGGGTGTAAAGTTTAAAAAAAAATCTTTTGAGAAAAAACACGAGATTGATTTCTAAATCTTGAAGTAAATACATGTTTTGGTAAACGCTTTGCTTATTTTTATTGCTAAGGAAAACATGAGCAAAAAAGCATCTCTGGTTTATTTTGTCAGTGTTTGTTCCATGTTAACAGAGAAAAAATACAAAAGAATGCAATATAATATGTTTTGCAGTTATTTTATTTTGATGTGCCCGGAAGATATAAAGAAATTAAAAAGGATTTATGACTTTTTTTATATGTATTGACTGACTGTCCATTCAAAAATAACCCTGATATATTTACTTACATTGTACCTGACTGATACGCCTAAGAGGGGCATAGGTATGTTAAGGCATTAATTACTTAATCTCGAGAAATGTTATTAAAAAAAGAACTGTTAAGTATTTGTTAGTGTATTTAAACAACAGCGCTGACATTCAAAACGTAATTGTCCGTCTGCTCGTTAACTTAAAAAACCCACCAAAAACCCTCTTCAGACATGTACGTCCTTCGCGACCATTTTAAAAGTACAGCTTACCAACGAAAATACTATTATGACCTCATAAAGGTGTGAGTTATAGAACATAAATAAAATGTACAATAAAAACTGAAGGAAACAATACAAAAAATCATAAATTCATTATGCATTAAATACAAATAAAAAAACTTTCCGGTTTATAATTGTATAATTTATCTGCAATGTATATTACGATGTTTTAAAAGGTATCAGTTTAAATTCAAATAACACACACTATCGTCATAGAAAATTGGCGCTTATATTAAATTGACACTTGAATCTGTAAGTCTTTCAGTGATTTTCATCCTACTGGAAACAACGAATTTCTTTTCAAGAAGTTTTTTAAAACAGTCTTTAAAAATTACCTATGCTATATTCACAGTTCCTATGACTTGATCGTCACTCATGTTGTGGTCATAGCTCGCTTTTTAATTGTCTGCCAAAGTGTCCAGTAGTCCGGTTAAAGCATACAAATGTTAATTCAGCTGCTTTCACTGGCATAAATTATTGCTTTTTTGCACTCTATGCAGTAGATTACGCTCGTGAATTTGTCGTTGATGCTGTTTGCTATTAATATTCTGTTTGATAGTGAACGTATTCCCGATGATATCCCAACTATAGTGGCGTGTTTCATATACAGACAAATAGCGTATTTTTATCGCATGGGTTTGTTTGTGTTTTACGTCCTATGATCAGCTATGGTAATTCAAGGACGTGCCAGGTTTTGGTGGTGGAGGAAAGCCGGAGTTCCCGGAGAAAAAACACCGACCTATAACTAGTACCTGGCGACTGCCTCACGTAGGCCTCGAACCCGCAACCCAGTGGTGGAGGGCTAGTGGTAGCAGAATGTCAGATTCAGATTGTTTTATTCCTTTTGTAACACACATCGGAGAGTAGACATACAAATAGTACAGTATATTACAAATTTACAATGATACATGTATACAATAATAGTCATTAGTCGTGCAGTACTTCAAAATGACATATAATAAGAGACAGCATTTTACATTGAAATACACCAACATCGTAAGGTTCCGATACAGTGAAATCATAACAATAGTATAACTTTCAATGACGTACGTTACAGGTAATGATAACTTGATTAATATAGTTACATACATTGTATCGCACATATGTTACGAATAAATACTCTCTAGTAGATCAGTACAAAACAATAAAATACACTACCGTAGTAGTAGTAATACGATGTTACACCTGACGTTAGTGACAGTGATATTACGATATAAAAAATACTCGTCGATGTTTCGACGTTGTTAATTATGATTAATTTACCATATATTTTATATCACATAGGAAAGGTAATGAACGGGCACAGTCATCTTTTTTACACAATACACATAATACAAATATCTTATCAAATACGGTATACTGAAATGAACATTTACAGGAAAAATGAGATAAAATATTATACAGTGCTATTACAACGTTTTAAACTTAAAAACAGGAATTTTCCTAATGTATTCGATTCCTTAATGTTTTGAGTAGTAAATAACTGAATCAATTTGAAAACACTTGGTCGTTTGTATTAAAAAAGCTTAATAAACTCGCGCCTTAAGTCGTTATAAAAGTTACACTTTAATATAAAATGAAATTCGTCTTTGATATCATTAGAGTTACATAAATTACAGAATCTTTGTTCTCTAGGAAGGTTTCTATAATTTCTCTGTTCAATATTTAAATTATGAGAGCTAAGTCTAAAGCGAGCTAAAGTCTTTTTATATGAATTATTAATTGGTTTTATTAGATATGATTGCAAAGAAAAAATAGCTATTAATTGTTGATAAAGGAATCCTTATGGAGTTATTAGTTATTATTTCCTGCCGGTAAAAGTCAAAAAGTCTTTGCTCAATGATTGTATAGATATTTCTATCATTGCTAACGTTTCCCCAAAGGTAAGTTAAACCTAATTTGTTGAGTTCTGTGCGGATATCAAGAATCCAATTATCATTTGAAAAAAATCTTTCCTCGTAACATGTTTTTAAAATGCAATTATTCATAGTTTTTAATTTCAACCAATATTTTAAAAAAATCAGTTTTCTATATACAGACAATGGTAATCTTCCTAACTCACAATAAACTAAATTATTACACGTACTCTTCTTGACTCCGAGTAGCCTTTTACAAAAAATGTATGTGTATCTTTCCAACATCAAGAGCTTTATGAAAACCCCATACTTCTGCACTGTAACTTAAGACGCTATTGATATAAGTGTCGAATACAGAACATTGTGTTTAGATATTAAAATGATGATTTTTGAACTTATTACAAAGCGCATAATATGCCTTATTACCCTGATCTGCAACATGCTTTTGAGTGACATAAAATTTACCATTGTAATTAAAGAGCATGCCAAGTAATTAAAAGGTCGACGACTTGGAGCTCTTTAGTGTCGTAAAACAATTTTTCGTTGTTTCGTATCCCGCCACCAATCCCGAAACTACTATTTTCGTCTTATCAGTGTTCAAATTGAGTTTGTACTTGTTATTATATGATTTCAGAGCTTCCAGAATATGTTGTAACTTATCTGGCGTTTCTGCAAATAGCACCGTATCGTCAGCATAAATTAAATTAATTTCAATAGATGGACAACCTTCTTTTATAAAATGATATTTGAAAAACAATCTGAATACAAACCATTGTGCTTTACACATGACTTAACTGAACTGTACAACGATTGAATTATACGTAACATTTTCCCTCTAACACCCTGCTTAATCAAATTGCACCTTATATGGGATCTGTCGATTAAGTCAAACGCTTTCTTGTAATCAACAAAGCAACAGTTAAGTCTACCACCTGTTTTACTTAAATTTCTATTAATTAAAGTCTGAAGTACAAATATTGCATCAACGGTTGAATGTCCGGGTCTAAAACCAAATTGAGCATCTGTTATTACATTATTTTTAACATCCCAATTCACTAGTTGTTCATTCAATATGGAGGTAAACAACTTCCCCATGCAACTGACTAGAGTAATGCCCCTGTAATTATTTGTATTTTCTATATCGTCTTTCTTATATACGGGGTAATACTCCCAGTAGACCAAGCTTCAGGGAAAATCCCTAGTTGAAAAATATAATTAAAAAGTTTGATTAAATATGGAACAAGTATATCCTGCAATCAATAAAAAGTTCATTAAGCATTTTGTTCTCACCACAACTTTTATTTCTGCTTAACTTATGTATTGCAGAAAAAACTTCTTTTTCTGTAATATGGGAGTCGAGTTCTTCAAATACACATGATATATTATTTTCATCTAAAGTTGTTTCGCCTATCTCGTGAACTGGATTACATTGACAATCTTTAAAATGATTGTAGAATTTGTCAAGAGAAATTTTGTTTGAAACTTTAAATTTTCGTTTCGAAAAGCATTTATAAAAATGTTTCGGGTTGTGTTTTCTAAGATACTCCATCATATCTCCCTCCTGTCGCTGATATTCTCTCTTCAGTCTTAACTCAAATTTCTTTTAATCAGGTTTTTTCTCAATTAATATTCTATGATAATCAGCAGTTTTAAAATTGTTAAATGTATGTAAGTCATCTTTGTATATCTTCTATTTCTGCTTACATGGAAGATTAAACCAGGGTTTATCCTCATGTTGAATACCTTTTTTCTTTGAGACATTATCAGTTATAGTTGACTTACATTTATGTACATTACACATTGGTAAACACATCTCATTTAGAAAAGAACAAAGTCAGACGCCTTAACCACTCGGCCGCCTCAGGGGTCGAGTGCTAGTGAAAGCAGAATGTCAGACGCCTTAACCACTCGGCCGCCTCAGTGGTGAAGGGCTAGTGGTAGCAAAGTGTCAGACGCCTTAACCACTGGCCGCCTCAGTGGTGTAGTGCTAGTGATAGCAGAATGTCAGACGCCTTAACCACTGGCCGCCTCAGTGGTGTAGGGCTGGTGGTAGCAGAATGTCAGACGCCTTAACCACTCGGCCGACTCAGGGGTCGAGTGCTAGTGATAGCAGAATGTCAGACGCATTAACCACTTGGCCGCCTCAGTGGTGTAGTGCTAGTAGTAGCAAAGTGTCAGACGCCTTAACCACTTCACCGCCTCAGTGGTGTAGAGCTAGTGATAGCAGAATGTCAGACGCCTTAGCCACTCGGCCGCCTCAGTGGTGTAGTGCTAGTGGTAGCAGAATGTCAGACGCCTTAACCACTTCGCCAACGCGGCCGTCGCATGGGTCACTTTCCAATTCTGATGACATGTGTAAAATACTGCAATGCTATTTGTTGCCAAATTGTAAAGGTACAGTCATTTGAGTGTGTCTTAGGTTTATCTTTGAAAATGATTAGGCCAATATATACTGCTGCTTTTCTCCTTGGTTCGCTTCTATAAACAGACATGCAAAAACAAAACATAATAAAAACAAAGCAAAAAGCACCACGCATGGTTTGGATGGGTAGAAGCGATACCACGCATTTATATATTATTTGGAGTACGTTTTAAAGAGAAGTTAAGTACATGGTAATGAGTGACAATGTTAACTTCGTTTTTTATGCGTTGTAGAAGTTCTTTTCTATCAATGACGTCAATTTAAAATTTGATTCTATCTAAATAACATTAAATTTTACGTGGACAAGCTATATCTTTACCTTACATGGGCAAAATATATTGTTACCATCCATTGACAAAGATAAACACTATCATCACTTCATTTTTAGATACTGCTGAGTGATCCTATTCAAGTCGTTAACACGCCAGGAGTCGAAACTCGTGTTAATGATAATTATCAGACATAGAAGTAAGGAAGCATCTTTTTAACACTTAATCAAAATGGTCGACGTAGACAGATGCATCGAGCAATAAAGTAAACATTTCACTTTATCGTACGTCCATTTCGATACATCTCACCAGATGTACTAAAGGTTTACAATATGACAGTTTTGAAGTGTTCTAAAGCTATGGAGACACAGCGGAATCACAGGCCTAAAATCCGCGTATATATATAGGCACTGCCTGTTGTTTTATCCTTTTGTTAACACAATAAAATTTGTTAAAACCAAATGAGGACACGAGGCCATGTTCAATTCGATTGGCTAATACTTCCGGTTAATGTTTTGATTCAAAGCAATGATAAACTTTTGATGAAAAAGTAACTTTGTTAAGCTACACGCATTACCCTGGTACCTCGTTCCATTAAAATATGTCGATACATAACAGCCGAACACTTACCTCCAATCTAATATTTTTATAAAGTTACATTCATATACAATTAAAGTGTTGGCCGATTTTACTGTCTTATTGAATTGGCTAATAGTTTTAAGATAATATCCTTCAAAGGAAAGATTCTATATATGTTTTGGTGTTCTTTAATTAGGATAACACTATTCCAGTACGTACATGGCTCAGGATTAGTCTCCGTAAGAATCATGTTGAATGAAGAAACCACAATATAATTACATGTACATGTAGCAAATGGTTTCAAGATACTATCTGTCAAATGATCCGTTTTCGATTGCAACCTGGTGATAATTCTAGTACTAAATGGAACAAAAACCCCTTTGTGCCTTTCTTGCTAAATTACGTTAAGGGTCCCTGTCCCACTGCCGTCAAAAACTAAAGAGTTCCAATGTTTTTTTCCGCATATACAGTAATCTTCCTTTAATTTCGTTTTTGATATCCATAATAATAGAGAGCAAACGAATCAGGGCATTTCCTTTGACCAGGAGCTCCGTTGGCTAGAGCGACAATATAACAGTAAGAGGTTGAAGGTTCAAACCCTGGTCTAGCTCATAAACGTCCCACAAGGTACAACCATCAGAGCTATAACCATGCTAGACAGGCATGCCGGTGTTACGGGTTTCCTTAATCTATTTTATATCTGGATAGTCCCATACATTTACTATTTATTGAAGTAGTGAGTAACCACCTTTTTATATAGCATACCACTGGAATAGTAGTTCCCATTTTATACAGGCTACACAATTACATATAAATTTATTTAGTTCTGTTACATGTAAGACTTAATAAAGGATGTTTCCTGAACTAGTTCATTTATAACATATTAGAATATATGATATGTAACTAAAGTGTGTAAGATGTAATTAGAGTATATACTATGTAACTAAAGTGTGTAAGATGTAATTAGAGTATATAATATGCAACTAAAGTGTGTAAGATGTTATTAGAGTATATAATATGTAACTTAAGTGTGTAAGATGTCAATTAGAGTGTGTAAGATGTAACTGGAGTGTTTAAGATGTAACTGAAATGTGTTATATTTAACTGGAGTGTGTTAGATGTAACTGGAGTGTGTAATATGTAACTGGAGTGTGTAAGATGTAGCTAGAACTTGCAAGATGTAACTAGAATGTGTAAAGATGCGACGGAGTGTGTAGCATGCAAAATAATGTTAGTTTGTTATTTATTCTGATGTGTTAATTTACCTATTATAATGACAACAGTAATTGTCATTTATACATTTGAACATAATAGAGATATATCTCTTATACTAAGACAATTATTTGTAAACATTTCCTTTAGGATTCTAAGGAAGAATTTTAGAAAGGTTATGTAAGTCATTATGTGTGACGATTCGATGACCAAGTGCAGTATGTCTGATTGTATATTGTCAACTCATACGTATTTGACACGTTTCTGTGCAGACGATTCACTGGTCCGTTTTCTTATGAAAGTGACAGGGTATGTATCGTGCTAGTCATCAAAACTCCACACATAAACACTAACTGCTTGTGACGCATTCTTCACTTAAAATATTGTTTATTCAATTTATCAGTACTGGAAAATATTTATATACGCTTTTGCACAATCCTGTTTGGTGAAATAAAATCTTATTAACAAGACAAACACGTGTATTCAGATCAGTGATAATTTAATGATATACAGAAGTAACAATTTTACGGAATATCAACTTCTAAAACTTAATGCAATTATCAGACCACGGCATGTACGGAACCGTCCATCGTGGTAAATTAAAAACAGTTTATATTTGTTATGTAAATAAACGGATACAGTATTAAACTTTAAAGGTAATTGGGAACAACATCTTTGAGTGCTGTAAAGTGCTTTAACATCATTTTATATTTCGTGTAAATAGCCGAGATATCCGAAAGGCCAATTCCTTCATAATATTGATCGCTTATTGGGGAACGATGTGTAACATATTGTTTCGAACCATGCAAGAGTCTATGGAACTAAGAAGTCTTATTCTTTGGATTTCGTCATACTCTCGAATCAGAATAAATAAACATAATAGTGCCCAAATACTGCACGATTGTGACTAAATTGACACCTCTTTATTTGTTTAAAGACAGTGAATCATATACACAGCATGCTCATTAAACGTGCGGCTTCATCAGGACACATTTACGATATGTTATACACCTGAGGTACTTCGAAAATGCCCGATTGTGATTTTGATTAATACTTTTGCTATTTTATTTATTTCATTTAGTCGATTTTATTCAAAGTGTTGTGAAATAAATTAACATTTCAAAAATTACATCTCAGCAATATTGATTTAGAGTATTACATGTAACCTTGGTCGCCAACCGTTTCACAAAGGCAGGGTCTAATGTGTGAAGAAACATATCTTGAGCAATGGTTAGAATCTCGGCTATTCGTAAATTAAACAGGTGATTGGACATGAACTCATTTTTATAAAGTAATAATCGTATTCATGTTCATTGTGCAGGAATGCATAGGTGCAAAGTGAAGTAGAAATTTGAAAATACCACTGACCGTTAAAACCGTGCAAATTTATAGAACGATTCCAAAATAAATTTTATCCTAAATTCAAATAAATAATACTAAATGTTTCTTTTACACACATACATGTACATCTCTCATTCATTTGTAATCTCTTTCATTCTCATAATGAAGCACTAGTTAATATTATATCACAGACATTTTGAAAACTCATAAGTATACCAAGCAAGGCCACAAGAGTTATGTCCCTCCCACCTTTGCACAACTATCTATACGATATGGACGGAGTTATAATTACAAAGATATTATATTGACTGTAGTACATGATTTAATTATATAACTGGACAGATAACGGTTTTGTTTACTCGTAATACGTTGAGGACCGTACAAAACAGAGCATGTCTCAAATTCCCCGTGACAGCAAACATGGTAGAACAATCTTCTCACCTATTAGTGTCGCGGTATTCTGGTCAAGGGATGCTTTCAAAGGGCAGTAACTCGACAGTTTACATGTGCTATACGAAAACTTTCTCATGCGAAATAATATGGATCATGCGGTTCGGTAAAAGGACTTTTTATTGAAACACGTTTAAGTTGCTTCTGTAATATTTTTGTAATAGCTGGACAATTCTAATTAACAAATCAAATATTTATTTTCCTCGAAATAAAGAACTTTTCCATTTAAGTATACCTTATAAATCACTTTATTTCGGAGAATATGTATTTTTGCCTCAATTTGTGATTAAAGGCAAGTATATCGCAATGCATACTTAAACAATAATTATCATATTTATCCAAGCTCACTTTATGTTGATACCAGGGTTTCATAGTATCCAGAGCTATTGAAAACATGGATATAGTAATTATCTAGGTTCCTTTCAAAAAATGAATAACCTTTGTATCAAGGTTTATTTAAACAAGGGATATTATATTTCGACAAATGTTATTTCAACAACGAAATTAATAGTTTTTTCGGGCTTATTTTCCCAGGAATATCGTATCTATCCTGGCTTCATTTAACAACGGGTATGACACGTGTATTTTCCCATTTACAGCTATAGATGATATTCATGTTTTACCCACATAGAGCTATAAATTATATCCCATATTTTTCGAGGTATTTAGATAAGGGATACCATTTTGATGTTCCATTCGCGAATTTAAATGCCCCCAAATATGGACGTTTTAATCGCAATCAGGAGAATAAATATGCGCGAATATTTGGTGATTTAAGTGTCTCCAACATATTCAATGTGTATCAGAGTTGTCCAAGCATCCGTTCACCGCACGCGACTAGCACGACTAACAGTATCTGCCTCCTCGTCCACTTCTAAGTTATACTTCTTCCTCGCTCTCTCGAAGATGTCAGACATATCGTCATCATCATCATCGCTTTCACTTTCCTCTGCGTAAAAGTCCGGCGTTTTTGCTCTTTGGCTAGTTTTAACGGTGGGTGCATCCTCCACTACGGGACTCCTTGGTGTTACTCCCGTATTTTTACCTATTTGAAGAGAACGATGCACTTTGAAATACGCATAATGGAAACACATTTGAACCGTCAATAAATATTGATATACAAGCAAAGATATATCTTTAATAAGTGAAACCTTAATTTGAACACAAATCGAAAAAAACTAGGACAAAACACTAAGAAAAATTATTAATGACCCTTGAAAAACAAGAAGATGGATCTGTTTTGTCTAAATTACCAATTGTTTCTAGTACTGAATACATATTTTTTTTAAATATAAACTAATCATATAACGGTCGATCGAGCAGGAATTCAATTATCTCTAAAATATGTTTTTTTAGGTACGTTTAGGCAAAGACCATATACATGTAGCTGTTCCTTTCGCGAATTCTAATCATCGAGAATTAACCGTCAGATGGACAATTTTGCCAAAATAAGTTTTCGCGAAAATTAAGTGTTTTTTAGTGTTAATTTATTCATCGCTAAAAGGTTATTTTCCTAATGTTAGGCCTTAATCTAAGTTCACAATTTATGAGCTGACCGATTTAATAGCATGATATCCCACAACGCATTTAAATGATATAATATCCTTCCAACACTTACACGCCGTATATGACGTTAACATTGGGAACTCTTACCTTTGCCAGGCGCCATCTGAAGCTCCTTCTGGGCCTCCTGGATTACGTCCTTTACGAATTTTTTCTTCTCCTTTGTGTTTCCTGGAAATACAAGATAACAAATAATGCAACGTTTAGGTTGAAACATTACACGTACTGTCAATTCGGTTTACATTTATAGGTAAATACATTCAAATGTGAACTAATTAAGAGAAATCTGAAGACAATCTGCAGAAAGTTTTGATTATTCTGATATGTTTAATCGCAATACCTTTACACACGAACATTCTACTTTGACCAGTATTGCACGATCAAATCCTCGCTAGCAATGGGTTAGCATTGGATGACCTCTCTGTAGAGATTCTGTCCACTAACTTACTTGGTAGCTAGTAACATAGTAAAATTCATATTGTACATTTTAATGTAGTAACTCCATAGCTTCAAATTAAACTACGGAGAGCAGTACATGCTTTATAATTTCGACTGCACATCCAAAACTAAATAATATATACATATGTCTGTACCCCGTCTTGTGTCTGCGAAGACACCTGTACCGGGTTCCACTCAACACATTTTTAGTTTTGTTTTGTAATAAGCCTTGGAACGTGATGGATTTGACCGATACCCTGCGGGTGAGTACTAGTAAATCTCACCAGATCTTACCTGTACTATATTTACCTTCACTGTGTCGTCACGCCTGTGAATTTAAACTTCTTACTTACCAGAAAAATTACACGGTTTTAAGATATTGATTTTAACCCCAACGAAAATATATGCTTTTAAAGTATTTAAACAAATGTTTTACCAGGGCGAAAAACTATTTTGTGGAGGAAAATTAGTCAAATGCCATGTCTTGAAATGCGTTAATGCACCATTTACAATAATCTTTTATGTAAAAATATACAAAGTGAAATCCAATTAATATTTTTTGTGTAACACTCTTTGACGGGTTAAAGTCAATGGTCGAGTTTCATATGAAAGAGGGTTTGCTATGCATTTAATGGTGGAATTAACTACACTCCATTCTCAATAAGAGTAATTGACCTATCAAATTTCGTTTATTTTTATACTTTATTTGAGATATATTTATTTTATACTTTATTTGATATATATTTAAACGTTGATAGACATACAACTCTGTAGAGCGATATAATAAGATACTGAATCCGGATAGACAATTGTTGTAAGATCACGCACCAATACTTGTTTCAGGTCGCTTTTAGCTGTAATGCAATACGGTGATTTTTGAGTCAATTGCCTTAAGATGACCAATTAATTGTTCTTACAAATGGCAAGGCAGTAAAAGAAATATTCCTGAATGAGTATACTAAAAATTTAATACGTAAAATCAAATTGATGTATCTAAGCACAATTCGTGTTTATATCTATTGGTGGGTTTGTACCTCAGCCTAGCTGAGCATATGACTGTCAGAGTTATTCCCCCTATACCTATCTCTTCCTATGATTAATTTGTATAAAAGTTTTTGTATATACATTCTCGCTATATTTTTAGTAACATAACCTCAAAAGTTATGTTCACATATTGCATGTGCTGTTTATAGAGTCATGAAACATTTTCGAATCGTTTATATTTGTTTTAATTGTGATTGTTAGAATCTACAAAGCAACGTATACAGAAAGAGCAAGTTGATGTGAAAACAATGTATGGTGTTTTTGAGACAAATGTGACACTAAACATTTTGTGAGTGACTAAATGTTCACACGCAATATTGATACAGAAGTGTTTACTGTATTGATCGTAAAATATTTCGACCATACATGAACTATAAAGAACGGAAACTGTTAATATAGTTTAAAATAGTGGACATCAAGATTGAAGAAAGTATTTCAGGAAAGAGATTTGTTTTGTTATTTCAAAGTCATTTTGAAGACAAAAAATGCAGTGTTTGAAGAGAAAGATTTGATAGAAATAATGATACCTAGATTATCTATAATCTTCATTTGATATTTCTTAAAAGTAACTTAGATGTATATAAAAAAAATAAAGATATAAAACCAAGAGACTGTATGATATTGTCCTAAGCAGGACATAGATATTTTCACAAATCGTTTGTGCTTTTCAGTCGATACGTGGGGTCCCTCTTTCCTCACCAATCTTTTGTTGTTCTTTTACATTATATTTATGTACGTGACTATAAACGAATGACAGCAAAAAGCATCCAGATGATTTAGATAAAGATGTCTATATGTTATACAACTTTCTACAGAAACATACGCAGGTAACTCATATATGCACTAAACGATTGAGCAGGTATGATTTGTATTTTGTGTGAAAACGTTAATTGAACTGTGAAATCAGACACAAAGAATGAGAAGTAGTTGTAACAGTCAGACGTTGTTTGTTTACCTTCTTCTTTTCGCGCGATTAACACGCCCCCTATTGACAAACAAACACATTGTTCAACTTTGGCTGTTGTCGCTAAGGTACATGCAAACAAATGACACATCGTACCCTTCTGGTATATTTATGAAATAATATGCTTTAAAATTATATACGATATTTACAATGACGATGTCAATTAACATATACTGACATAAAACAGAGTTCAGATAGTTTGACGATGACGATGTCATTATCAGTGTAATCATGTTTATACCATGCGCTGAAACAAGAATATTTTATTTCATGTGATCATTATTTCAACAATAATAGTATAATATCAATACTTCTGCATAAGGTTTAAACGTAGTAAATTCGACATTCGAACGTTGCTTTCCAAATTTGAGAAGCAAATACTCAAACGTTAATTAAGTTGGGTGTACTTTACAGTTAAGTATAAAATCAAACACACCCTGATGTTATTTTTGTAATCATTAGTCTTAATCACAAACAACAAAAACAACTGTAGCATAAATAAATTACAGTAAACGTGTCAACATATATATGTTTAGAAGCACGCCTTTTCTGTGGTCTCAGAAAAACAAATAACGAAACTTGAACGAAACCGAATCAAATTATACAATCGTTTTGTTAATAAAACCGTCACAGAACAAAATTAATAAAATATTGCAACAGCATCTTTACATAAACTTGTACATAAACATAAATGTGATACACATACACCCATGAGCGTGCTTAAGATCAATGCAATATAATACGTATTGAGCGTTGTCCCGTATCCCGTTAGTGCTACTGACGGGATAATTGATAAATTACGTCAACTCGTGACATATACAAGTGTATGAGTCATAAATATAACAAAATATTGGCAGTGTTTTCGTGATAAAGTGTAGACCAAAATATCGTAAACTGATTGCAAAAATATGCCATTTTATATCGTAAAACACCTTTTTCAATGAAAGGTTGATATCACTTTTTTCGCAGCAGAAGTATTTTCGCGAAAAGGACTTCAGTAAATCCAATGAATATAGAAAAAGAAAAATCATAAGTGTATTTTATACAAAAAGTATATCAAACCACTCAAAACTATTTTTGCACCACATAGTTACAAATAACAACCTTTGACCGTCAACTTGTATCCCTGATTTTATTTGCGAACTCTATTAAAAGATCTCCTTCCGTGTAAAAGGATAATGAGTATGGTGCCAATTTTTGTCATGTAATGTATCAATATCAATTCGAAGAGGAGCATTGATCTTATGGCCGTTTATTCTAGTTCATTTTTAACACAATATCCAATATTCTATTTGTATTATTTTCTTTTTGTTAGTTCTCTGTGACATTTTGTTTCGTAATAAAGCTGTTCCGCTGTGATTGTTCTACTTTTTAACGAATTATAAACATACAAACTAAAACATTCAAATATGTGTATCAAACATTAATAAACAAACGTTTCACTGATTTTTATCTTGTATGCATTGTAAAATCTTAATTGCAAGTGTTGTTCTGCTAATGGCTAACGGCGATGAATATAATGATATGGTTTTGTGTAACATACAAATCACATGCCCAACGTATCGCATAAAACATCCACCACAGCACAAAATTTACCTCTGTTTGTCCTCTGAAAGTGTCATAGAATTGGATTGATTCGTTTGCAAACAAAACCGACATAAGTACTTTCATACTTTTATGGCCGACAAATCATTCACACTAGAAGATTCTATATTTGGCTTCTGAGTAGAAACATCGTAATCACACAGTTTTATATCCACTCATATAAATGGTATGATATCTTATGCAGTCTTGGAATTGTTTAAATATACTTAAATATGACTTTTTAAATAAAATGCTTTTGACGGTATCTGATAGTTCATTTGGCTGATGCATTACTTCTACTTTTGCCATACAGTTAGACACGCCAAACGAAGAAAAACACGATAGGATTTTTCTAAAAAGACATCTGAATGTTTCGTAAGGATATTATGCAAGTGCTGCAAGTTTTTGGTACTTTTTTTCATGCATTCGATTATTGATTTTAATAGAATACTAGTTGTACGGGATCCAACTTACCCTCTTCATCTTTCACGTCTAATACGACAGTGTCGATTCCCTCCATCTTTGGCTCTTTGTCGTTTGTGTTCCAATTCGGCCCAGTGTTCACATCAAACATGTCAGAATATCTCTTTTGATTAGTTCTGCTCAACTGCTTTCCATTTAAAACACTTTGTGGATTCTTCTTCTTCCTTTTAAGTTTCACTGCGAACTCCGGTTCACCGTCTGGTTCCTCCGGAAGACCATACTGGAAGCGATTCATTTTTTCGTGCTCAAGAACTCGTGACGTTACATATTGTGTGTGGAAACGATGCCAAGCCTCGTCTTCGAAACGTTGCCGTAATTCCTTTAGTTGATTTGCTTGTCTAGCCTTGTCCGTATATTTTTTCGTCTCCTTTTGTTGCATCTCGCTAAGCTGATGTTTGGCCATTGCAACCTGGAACTGTTCTAGCTTCTTCATGAAGTCTCGCTGTCTAGCTTTCTTTCCTGTTGGTTTGTCGTATACTTGTTTGATGCCTTGGTAAATTTTAGCCTCTCGTCGATTTAATACGTATTCACTCTCATGCCACGGCGGTTGTTTTGACCTCACAGCGAACACCGTAAATGCTTTAGTGAATTCCTTTGGTTTTCCCTGCTTGCAAGCACTTTTCAAAGCCTCTCTGGTGTTCGGTTCACCAGTATAGGCCATCATAACATCCGTTTGCGTATTCGTTGATGGTTGGTAAGTAAGTTGACCTCTTTCCTCCTCCCACAAATGAGTATTTGTTCTATAAATAGATTTATCCCTTTCTAAATGAAACGACTTTGGCCTAGAAGAGTCTACTGATGATTTCTGTGTTCTTGGAGTTAGAACTACTTCTTTTTCCTTTGCTTTTTTGTCTCTCGAATACATTGGCTTTTTATGTAACTTAAGTTTGAACACTGGCGGTTTGCCACTACTTCCGTTAGTCCGTGAAGATTCTGTGTCCGAGTTTATAGTCACTGCCTTAGGTTTCACCGGCCGATTGTTACGCGGTATTTCGTACTTCCGTGCAGGCGCATGCCACTGGTACGCACTGTCCTTTGTCGCGTTACTATCCGTGGCTGTATCCTCAGTTGTCCTTGATTGTGGTGAAAAAGCCATTCTTTCCCTAAAGCATCGAAAGGATTAATATTCAGAAACAATCTTATACCTTTATTTATATGAACATCAATACACAACTTTACTATAATAGGGTTTGAAGTAAGATGTTTGTTTCTTTGATTCGTTGTGTTTAAGTGCCCGTCGACAACAATGGTAATGTAGGGCCAGACTGAGATGAGACGACCATTTTTCAAAACAAAAGACTAGTAAGAAAAAAATTGATATGAGTTGATGTTGATAAAAAATCAATATAATAAAGTTATGAAGTAACATAGCATCGGTAATTTGAATGTGATTATTCTCGGTTTTCACAGACGGACAATGTCAACTGGCGCAGACCTTGCTTTTGTTACTCTTCGGGCTACATTATTTTCGTTTTAATACTTTTCAGAATTATTTCCCCTGAACACATCCTTAAACACTGTTTAGAGTCATTTTCTTTTAACACTTCTAATTAACATTCATCAGTGTGTCATAATCACCCGAGCGTTACTAATGAATATATTCGTGTTTACCTTTAAATACGATATAATTAAAACATCATTTATTCATAACAAACGGATGTATAAGAATTCTTTTAAAGCTGAGAGTTATGCCAGTAAGGTAGTATCTATGTTTACGTGTGATTCTGTGTATTTACCACGCACATACGTACTTGTTATTTTCAGTTTTACGGTTGTCTGTTGTTTTTTCTGTTCGAGTTCGGGTATAAGTAGCTACAAATTTCCCATTGTGTCTGAAAGTTAAAACGTGAGATTAGTGAGGCATTATACGTCATCATAAACTACTTCACTTTATTGTTATATATGTTACAGGATTACTTGTACATGTAAAGGTTGACCTATCTTTGCATAATGATGCGGACGAAGCTTATATTTGCTTTTATGAAACAATAAGCACTTAATACTTATACTCATACTATAAAACAATACAAAGTCACTTCGAAATCGTACGGACATACAGTACCGGTATAAACTTATCTAGTGTACAGTAAAACCTTGATACATGTACTATTAATTCCTCATATTGGGTTTCCATGTACCACCATGCTTGCTATTTATTTATTTTTAATTTTCGTTCTGGCTACATGCTGTTCTTCATATTGCCAAGCACATTTATAACACTAGCTGGACAGATAAGGATAGTAAAACAAGATAATATTGTTGAAAGATACTATTTAACATAATTGCACTTAATAACATACGACATTATTTTGTAGATATATGACTTTCTATAGATGCAAAATGACCAGAAAGATATCAGATGTTATATCGTTGGTATATTATTTTCCACTAAAGATGCTATATTGTTGATCTATCCTCTTGATACCTGATATACAGAAAAAGAGGTTAATTTGCAGATATAGCTTGTGCACTCTGAAAGCCCAAAATTCAGGAATAGTTACTTTTGAACATTTTCCTTTACCAACGTCGGTTGTGTCGACTCCTGTGGTGGTTTGGTGTTCTCTTTATTTGACTGGGATATCACCGTGGCAGCTGCAATTAGAAAATATATTAATGTAACTTATCTCATCTGTTCTTAGTAGAAATACAGGTGGTTCTTGATTATACTTTGAAAAATGAAAGTTATCTTACCGCAATAGAATTATATAGTCTATGTTATACTGAAAATGTTCGTTTTTCTCTTTTAAAGACCCTGTCCACCGACTATACCACAATCTTAAGCCAAGTCTACATTTAAACATTTAACTTTTTTTTGTTTTCCAAATGTCGCACAAAAATGCGATTTTCCATTCATGTGTCCTTACTGACTTACTGTCATGGAAAATGTTTATTTAATCAACCAACAATTCAAATTACGACTTGATCTCAAAGCCAGGTCTATCAGTAACTCAATTGCAAACTTGTGGAATACTTGTTTTTTTTCATACTTCGTTTGAATTTGTTTACAAAGTGGAACCAGCCGAACATCCATTTCAAAATACATTATTTTTAATAACCAGATACTATCTGGTGAGGATGCTTTATTGATACCAAATTGACCCAACAAATAACTGCAAGATCGTTAAATAATTCTTCATCTGAAGTTTAAGGAAAATGTTGACGTATTTTGTGAAGAAGAAGAATTATAGGGTAGACGCTATGTAGCTCGATGGGGGTCATAGAGACTGTGAGCTCGTAGATTCATGTATGATTGATAGGCGACTAGGGAAAACAGGGAATAACTGATATGTAATATTTTTACTGAAACGTCAAACAAATGAATAATCGATCTGCTTTAACAGATTTCTGTTTTTGAAAAACAACGTTATGTTTGATCTAATAACGGACTAACTTTCAATGACAGAAAATTAAGGAAGCATAACACTTCTCGGTAAAGTTATTGGATAAGACATTTTGAACAAAGATTAACTCGTTTTTATTGATTACGTACAGCTGAAATTCATCTTAAACTTATAAATCTGCGAAGTGCATACACCTAATGCAATATACCTAGTTTTCTTCAGTAAAATACTCGCGGATGTGAAAATTAAATTACAACTAATTTTAGTAATTACATTTGTTGTAACAAGTATTTGGTTACGTATTCCAAGTATTGATTAAAAGGATGATGTATAACGCAGTTTTCAAGGAATAAAACATCACGGTGTTGAATGCACTTATGAGAAAAATGACTGTCATTTCAGTTTTGTATAATAATTGATGTATTCATATTTCGATAGCAAAAAGTCACTACAAAACCAATTGTACTGAAGTATTAAAAAAATGGTCAATACGGCAGGTTTGTAAAGACGAGACAACAGCAGTTGTTTTGAGAACACACACACATATAAACATGTAGAAACGTGCCCTATATAGGAAATACTAATACTGATAACAAATGGCAGGAATTGACAATGACATGATCAATAATGTATGAAAACTCTGGTAGGTAAAAGGTGCAATACATGACTTCAAATACATGTACACCTCCTAAAACATGTGTCGTATATTTAAAAACAAAAAAAACAAAAAAAAACAACATAAATATATACGACAAACCCGAATCCAAATGCTGTTTCGATGTCGTTTATTTTGTTAGTAATGAATACTTACAATATGCACTTACCATTACTTTTTGAGCTGGTGGGTTTGCCAGACTTGCTTTGTTCTACAGAAGCATGGGTTTCCTTAGAAGGAGAGGAAGGAGGAATGCCATCTCTCTTGACTTTGGAGGGTGAGGGAGGTGGTTTTTCATCCCGTTTTGTTTTAGAGGGTGAAGATGGGAGGTGGTCTTCCCTCTTGCTTTTAGAGGGTGAGGTAGGTGGCTGGCGGGTTGCGAGAGTGTCATCTATAGGAATACAACACACGGGGACACGTTGATTATTCATAGGACTTATCATAGTTACTTAACACTTTACACTAATTTGTGAAAGAAGTACACCATTCGGAATGTCCGATATTACCAGAGTTTTTTTGAAAGTATAATCCATTTAAAATCGTACCTTAAAAAAGACTTCTCCCCAAAAAAGTATAAAAGAGCGTTTTCATTGTTTGTTGTACAATTTATTCAAAGTTAATCAGCATAGCAATTTAGATGTAACTTTGCTTTAATAATTTATTCAGGTTTTCTGTATGTTGTAACTTGACGTATATTGCACTATAGGACAACGGTGCATGTATGTTCTTATCGATATCATAGAATCTTACAAATGCCTTGTCTTTAATCAATATTTGATGTACTTTATAGAAGTGTCAGTGTCAACTACTATTCTTCGCAGTCAGACAGATATGTTTGGAACACTCTTTATGAATAACTATGTAGATAGGTAACACAATAGATGTGTTTGGAACACTCTTTATGAATAACTATGTAGATATGTAACACAACAGATGTGTTTGGAACACTCTTTATGAATAACTAAGTAGTGTCGGCTACATGTTATAGAAGAACTTAACGTTCAGGAACATGATAATGTGTCTGTTACATTGTGTTACCAATGGCTACTTAACTGATTGACTAAGAATCATCTAGATAGGTGCAATACACAAAGGGAAACAAACTGCTAGCACACATTATAGAAGGGAGGGCAAGAGAAGGGCAGTTACCCTTGGTGCACACACAAACCTTTTCCTCTCGTCCGTTTTAATGTCGTGGACGATTTATCTAGAGTAAAAGTAGAACGTTAATTTTGAATAGCGATTTTAACAGTTTCCTGTTCACCAATTATCACTCACTGCCTTGATAACATTTTATAATCTTTTGGGTATCACTTTACGATATGACGTCAAGATAAGGTTTGACACTAATTGCTTGAATATGCACAATACAATACCTGTGACATGAAAAGAAAAATTATGTCTGTTTGTGTCCAACCCGGAGTAGGTTTGGTTACGGATAACGTCTAGCTACTTTTATATACTAAATGCATACACAATTACATGTTGGATGGGGTGGGGTGATGAGGTGCATTTTTCTACATATCATGAATCTATCCATGTATTATGTTGCGCTCCTCATCGGTGCCTATCATTTGTAACCCACCTTTGTTGTAACATATAAACACAAGTAAATAAACTTCTTATCTATGAATTATCCAACATAACTAATATTTGATAATACAAATTGTGAACTTGTAGTGTCACAATTTTGTACCTGTCATTAATAAATGACCATTTAACAACAATTCTATGTTCTGTTGTTTTTTGTGTAGTAGTACAACAAAAACAAGTTGCAGTCTCTAAACATGTTACCTTGCTGACACAAATGTCATGTATTCATTTACGTAATGATAAAAAAACCTTTGCTGATCATAAGATGGTTGTTTCTTACGTTTACATATATTTATAATGATGACATAAGCCAAATACCTGTAAAACACTACACACTGTCGAATAGTTATTAACGAAGAGAGTTGTTGTCAAATAACTCCGAAAAAGAACAGAATACATATTCCTTGTTGTAACTGAGATCAAAGCCTGTATTAGACTGTAATAACTTAGCAAATTCAATTTTATGTAAAAGTGAAAATAGTTTTGAAAATTACTTAATTTACCAATTCTTGGAATTTGAGTTTAATTAAACAGGGATATTTAGTCTAATAGCCTTAATAATAATGATCCTCCGAAATCATGATGATTACAAGTAATGAATGTGTTTGAATAAGTACAGGCATTTACATCACTTATGATGTAATCATTAAGAAAGGTCGGGTCGGAATCTCAGATTTTTTTTTAACTAGAAGCATCCATTTTGACATGGTTTCGGATCCATTTTTGTTATTTTTGAAACTGTTACCACATATATTTACTATGTACCAAGCTTTACTCAATAACACCAAAATTCTAATAGTATGTGTCAATACATGCTATTGTGTGACTTACCGGTGTTTTTCTGTCCGATGTTCGGTATAGATTGTGTTTTTACATCTGCCGTTGACCTCTTCGACTTTTCTGGACTCTGTGGCTTACTGTTATGGTCAGCGTCATTTGACGTGACCAGTCCATTTTGTTTGGCAGGAGGCAGGGACGGCGTGGAGTCGATACGATGTTTGACAGATGACTTAGCACTTCCACTGGTTATCCTGAAAATACACAATAAAGGAAAATTATTAAAACAACAGCTATTAAAATTAACAATATATAGCCGCATTATATTTTCACAAGTCATATGGTAAATATACAATCATCAAAGTAGCTTCGATTTCATGAGCGTCCATCTTATGAGCGTAATGAAATGTGAGTATTGTTTTCAATTAAACGACACTTAGGCAATATCATTCTCTGTTATGCTAAGCGGAATGCCGCAATGCTAATCGTTCGGCTCAACTTTAGACGTTTTATGTAATCAGTTACTTTTTTTTCACTGCGATAACTAAAAAAAAGGAGAAATGGTTGCTGAACATACTATACCTAAAGCTTGCATTGCTCAAATAAAATAATAAAATCTATCAAAAACTCAATCAACGAGTGTATGAGTAAAACCACTGCACTGAAACGTTTCACTTGTGATGATTACAGGGCCAAATCCATACGATATTCCTTTATTATTTGCAATAATGGTAATGGAATTCAAATAAAGAAATATAACAAGTGTTTTATCTTTATTCGGCCGGGTAAAACAGCTACATGAGTATAATTAATTCCGCGGTCATGAATTTAACATGCACAACTTTTGAAGCCTTATGGGTGCAAAAACGACCGTAAATATGAAAGTAATCGACTAGAGAATCAAACGGAGTTCACATAGTTGCAGACTGCGGTATTTGCCTTCTAGATTTCAAATATTTTACGACTAAATCCGCTGACTTGAATCGACCCCCTGAAGGACCAATAAATACCCGCAAACGAGCTTTCGTTCCCACTTATCAAAGTACAAGCTTTTCATTCAAGCTCTAATCAGTCGAAGTTTTGTTAGCTTCATACATATATTCATATTTTCGAATTTAAAATCCAACGACTTTTATTTGCTCACAAAAATGATCAAAGTAATCAAGTTTTTGTTAAAAGTGACGAATGTTAACAAAATAATGAAGAACAGCTGTTAGGTGTTAACAACTGTTACTACGGAAATAATGATATGTTTTCTGTTCGAGCGACTAAAGGCTGATCTTACTTTAGATTCTTAGGAACAGATATGAAAGTGTTCATCGGATGGATATTAAATCATTTGTCAACATATTAAGTACTTTTACATGAGTATGTTTGTACCACGAGGTGCCACTGTTTGTTTACAGACACCTGAACGGTAGGCACTTCAAACGACATCAAGATGTGAAGTTGCTACGTTAGGAGTAAATAACAGACATGTAGGGAAATAATACTGAATTATCTACATAGAAAGTAATTTTTAGGCCTGTAGAAAAATAATAATGTTGTTCCTTTAAAGATAGGAATGTACAGGCTTGCATGTTTTCAGAAACAAAGTACATATATTTAAAGATTAAGAAAAAGCTTAATTCCTTATCAAATAATTGACCTGATTATAAAGTTTAACACGGAAAACAGCTAAATCACTGTTACATTGTATTTTTTATAACGTCTCAAGAGGGGAAATTTAAGCTTTTTGATAGCTTAAATTATAATTGCGAGAAGACTTTTATCAAACCATACTGTATAAAAATCAAATCTTTACAGTGTATTTACTCTTACGGTATCCATGGATATTGTAATCGAATGGGTAATATTAATAGCGTGAAAAAAATAATATCTGTTTGACGCAGGTTAAAATATATAAGTAGACCGTGAAAACTTAATTTAAAAAATCGACGTAAAATAAAAAAAATACAATATTACTCACTAACTCTACAAGCTATACTGCATAAAATGATAATCTTATACAGGTCTTTCCTTGTTGCATTCACCTACAGTTATATCAACATTGCTAAGATGTTGTATTTTTGAAGTCATTACATTTACATGTTACAAGTGATCTTGATTCTTTCAATCAATCACAAACGAGCTATCGCCATCACACTCGTTATGAAGTGATAGATAAAATAAATAAGTTGTAGGTTTATGATCAATATTTTTTTCTTTTTGTTCTCTGTAGATCAAACTAGATAGAAGAACAAATTTATAGCATTTAAGGTGAGGTAATTATATATTACAGGGAAATTATTGGCTTTCCATTATAGATATTTATAAATCATGAGTACAGATAGCAAGTTTGGTATACACTTGCAAACATATGTTTTTAACATATGTATAGTATGATTGTAAAAATACATGTTTATAGCACAGGTAAATAATTACACATACACCAAGTATCATTTATAAGGCATCAAGATGAATGAATTACCTATTTATGAAAGATTAGCTTACACATACATTAACATACTAGTAAAAAGGTACCCAAACCCGACATCAACAAGATGAACACGCTTGCCTTTTGATATAAAAGTATTTACATAAACTCTAGACCAATACACCTACGCATGTCAGTAATTAACGTCATCGATTGAAAATCTGTTTATTCACTGAACAAATCCAGCACAAACACGGACTCGGTGTCCAGTCAAGATCTTTATCTCCAACTAAATTTAATTATACAATACGATCTTTATCCAATCATAGTCGGCCAGGTGTTTTGTCTGCTGTCGTCCACGTACTATTCAAATAGGGGACACAACATTGCTTCAACTGAGTTTTGTATAAATCCCATTGTAGTACATGTAGCACTATTGAAGTAAAAGATTGTCTGCTGACTATAATTTTAATCATACCACCGGATGGATTATCAAAATGTACTTTGCTCAATAGTGTAGACATAATTTGATACTTTGAAAATGTAATATAGTTTCCTCTCTGACTTGCATGGTTAACTTTATAGCGTATCAATAATATGTCGTTGAACCTTATTATACATAGCAAGGTGTAAACATGGGAAAAGGTACTTACGTAAATTGAATGATAATATTCTAATACAGGGCTTAAGGGAATTATATTGTAAATTTGATATTTTGAACGTTTAAACAAATACCTCATCCTAAAATCATAAAAGCTGACAAGATGGTCCCACTGAAAATATCATTATATAGATCTGAATTTGATGGCTTAGTTACGACTGGCTCAGACGAATCCAATAACTTCACAGAGGAAGGTCAGTACAAGATTCAATTTATATACGTACATTCTACACATGTATATAAAACATATAAGTCAGTGAAATGTGCTCTTTATGTATTTCCTAAACGTGTAAATACTGCGGAGAATCAATACGACGATAACACATTATTCATTTTGTTTCTTTTGTCAAAACTAAAACGGCTAGTTATATTTGGGAGCATCATGGTTTAGTTTGACATGGACGTGTATTAATAATTGATTTCTGTACTTCCAATCCACTGAAGGCTACGTTATGTATATGTAGCTATAGGATAACTGGATTGAACCGGTCTACTTCACATCTGTTTCATAAATGTCATTAATCCACGTTAGCTCCGGACACCATAAAAGAATATCGGTCGTATTAATATACTACACCTTAATTAATGTTTATCTGTTATCGTAGTCTCGAAGTCAACAGTATTGATTATCTGCAACAGAAGACTGCGTTGCAATTTACATTTACAACAGCATGAAATCGTTTTAAATACATGTTTTGGTTCTACACTGTACATTGTATAATGAAAAATACAGAACAATATGACTCATTACACTAATAACGGAAAAAAACAATCAAGATAGTATCTAAGTGTGAATACGTCCAAACAAAAAGAACTCAAAATCGATAAATTTGGAAAGAATATGAACAAAGGACATATTTACATGCAGACCCCTGAAAGAAAACCACAGAAGAATAAGACTAATTGTTTTGAAAGGATTGGCGTTTTTCTGTTTCTACATCAACTCCAAGTAATGTCACATCCTAGAATGATGAACGGGACTATTGGGAACAAGGCTCACTAATGACCATAATCAAAACATCAACCTTCATATCTCACAAGGAAATGGAATATTTCCAACAAGATCATGATGACGACCATAACATGTTGTCATACGACATTAAACATTATCTAATGCATTGAACAACCCACAGAGCAATCTGGCGCCATTTAGTGATACTTCAGTGGAACGTCATCTTATGAAGTTTCAAGTAGACCAATAACATATATTATGCTTCAGTTTCAGATTTTCCTTCTATATTGTGACGATATTCTGGAGATTTAAATCACAATCAGCCTTTGGGTCGATCCGTTTTATAAACATTAATCATCAAATACTCAACACATATTTTAAAGCCCTTTCAATATAACAGCGTATTTGATTGGATGAAATTGATCACATGACGAGGAAATAAAACATCGTGTTTTCCCGTCAAATTGTCCTAATTCGAACCCGTTCTAGAAGAAAAAGAAAGAGGCATAATCAACTGAGTTCCGAGTGATGACTATAGCAGATGACAACAGTAGAATGTAATCTTATGTACTGCTAAGTCATTGTTTTTGTGGTATTCAAAGGGAAACATTATTCTTTGTTTCCCTATCGTTTGAACATGTAAACCAGCATGACAGCTTTTCTATTCCTGTTCATTTTGAAAGACATCACTTTCTTCATGCTTGCTTATAATTTTATAAATCGTCCAGTCGTTTATGCTAATATGTTTTAGGGTAATTCTTGTATTGATAAGATGTAAACTTATACAACAGAATCATTATACTACCTGCTAAGACTTCCACTTCCGCTATAACGGGATCCAGATGTGAGTGACATTTGAACGTTTTATCCACTTCCGGTATCACAGAAATGAAAGCAGGCTGCTTTTAATCAAAACATATTATTCCAGAACTAGTAAAGGCGTTGTCTCCGTTTGTTATCTACACAAATTCAATCTATACCAATAAGAACACTGTTCACATGATGTAGGTAAACAAAGATGTGTCAGTCCTTTTTATGAATAACACAGGAACTCAACGTACAATAGCTACTGTATATATATATATCACACTGTGATGTAGTCTCTATTGTGAGGTTGGTACTAATCTTCCACACATGATAATAGTACCTCACATTTCATGTAGCTATTGTGACATTTGAAACAATATTTAGTCCCATCCAATAGGTGTATTAGTCAAAGACAAAA